CACAAAAGATGTATCGTGGATACTGTATTCCCCGGTAGAAAATACGGACTCAATGGACGCCATCTTGTTATCGGTACCATGGAAACCAAAATTTTCTATAAAGATGTAGATTCGGTTTATGCTGGCTTGGTTGTAGATTTAACAAAAACTTTGGCAAATAGTTTGAATTTTACCTTTTCTTTTCGGCAACCAGCTGATGGTCTGTATGGGGGTGAATCCAGTAACGGAACGTGGGGTGGATTATTTGGAATGCTGGAACGCCACGAAATTGATATGATCATTTCCGACGTCTTCATTACAAGTACCAGAATGCAACGGGTGGATTTTATTCAACCTCCATTTTTAAAGATGAAGTTATCGGTTCTATACAAAGGTGGGGTTGAGAACAATAGTAATTGGTTAAAGGTGTTCAAACCTCTTCACCCTGTTGTGTATTATGTAACCTTTGCCGTTTTGGTTTGTGTTGGCAGTTTGATCTATTTTCTAGATTGGACTGAAAACGCGGGAGTTTATCGCCTCCTTTGCTTGATGACGTCATTAATCGGGTTCGTGTCAGTGCGAGGCGTGGGGTTAACCACATCAACGCATGCTGCAAGAATTCTGATAAGTTTTTATTGGATGGCATGTATCGTAATATCTGCGACTTACGTAGCAAACCTCACAGCCACCTTTTCTAACACGAAATTAAGTAAACCTTTCAATACTGTAAATGAACTCGTGCAGTTACCGAATTGGAAGATAGGAATCTCTGCCTATGCATTGACAATTCAACTGTTAGCAAATTCTAGCAATGGAGTGTTTCAAAAGTTATGGACAAGAATTGTGGATAGCAATATGTCTGATCCAACAGTGCTAAGAATTGACAATGCCTTTCAAATAAATAAGATTTTCGAGTCTGAGGAAAACTACGCCTTTTTAACCTGGGATGCCAAGTATTACGTCATGAACCGAGACGATTGCGCATTGAATATGCTGAATAATGAGGTTATTTCATTGGATGTGGCCGTGGCAGTGAATAAACAGTCTTACCTAACGGCTGATCTGGAACGCGTTCTATGGGTGTTATCCGATAATGGCTATCTACACAAACTGGAAGAAAGGTTATTTCGTGACAAACGGCCCGAAGAATGTAAAACCACAAATGAAAAGAACAAAATAATAGGTTTGGAGGATTTGTCAGGAACCGTGTTTGTGGTCGGAGTTGGATTATTGATGTCTATAACTGTTCTTGTATTAGAATGCATCGTTAGAAATATTAGGCCGTTATCCACAAAACACAACTAGAACCAGTGATAGTGCCTATAGGAACGCAGCGCATGCATGGACAATAAGACTTAGCTATACATACATTCCTAGATAACTGTTCTTGTATTAGAATGCGTCGTCGTTATTAATGTCGGCAGAGACGTTAGAGTATGTCAAAAATTTGGACTTGTAGTATCCCCCTTTCACTGTTAACATTTTCACATTTTCAGCCAGGGGCCCGATGCAAGCCCCATACGACCCATACGAATGTGTAGCAAGATTTGGTCAGCAGAGAGAGAAAGAGGGAGAGGGAGAGGGGGAGGGAGAACGGGGAGGGGGGTGATTAACGTCCACACGACACAAACTAGGTCATTTCTGGACTATCATATAATTCAAGACTATCAGTTTGCGCATAGGGGTCTGTAGCTGCAGAGAAAACCGGAGGACCCGGAGAAAAAACCAACGAGGTTGAATAGGCGACCCTACTCTTTGTCACGAACAAGCACAGAATAGAAAGCAAATCTAAAGCTAACATAATGTTTCTTTATTATTATTTTATAATGTAAAAGAAAATAAACGAATGCAGAGAAATGATTTAATAACGTTAGTTCCTTGGACTGAAATCAATAGTGAGGTTAAAAATACACAATATGATATGAACATACTACCACCACCATGACGTTGGAGAGGCGATAAGCGGCACATGCGCCTGTAACGTGGAAAATATTTCAAAAATAACATTAGGCCTAAGCTATATGACTAAGTGTAATGTTTAGAGTCTGTTACGACCATGTGGTCTGAATCCGATTTCTAGTATATCTCATAAATCGATTAATTTAGGCCAAAACCCCGACCTGCAAGTAATTTACAACCATCAACCTGTGAAATTATATCGTCATATTATGCAGGATTCCGAATTCGGGCCCACACCCAGCACAACCGGCGCAGAAAGTCTATTATACCAGCCCATTCCAGACTCCAGGGATGGCGTGGCGGTCCGTTAAAGCCACCGGCCACATCATCATCGCTCCATGGCCGGTCCAATACCCCCCCCCCCCCCATATAATGTTCAGCAGAAAAGTTTTTTTTAGACGAATTGGACAAAATTATTTTTTTCAGATTTTTATCCGACCAGTCCTTCGGGCGATCGGATGGCCCAATCCGCCCCTGTGCACCACTGACAAGGGGGAACCATGCCAGAAAATTCCGATGATCTGTCTCGGTCAACACCGGGATCGAACACAGGATCTTCTGGTTAACTGTTTTATTTCCCATGCTATATTGTTTACCCTGTGTGTGTGTGTGAGGGGGGGGGGGGGGCGAGGGGCGAATGCTTTAACGCATGCGCTTTAAATCATAAAGTCATTGAGTCAAGCGGAGTGGTTTCGAATCCCGATTGTACCTGACAACCTCGTTGTTTTTCTTCGGGGAATCCGGTTTGCCCCCGCTGCTAAAGACCCCTACATACAAGTTAATTATTGAAGTGAAAATTGAACCATAGGTTAGTCCCGAAATGACCTAGTTTGTGTTCAATGGACGTTTAACCCCCGTTTCTCTCTCTCGGTTTACGGGGGGTTGGATGGCTGAATGGTTAGCGTGCGCGCGCTGTATCATAAAGTCTGTCATTGAGTCGACTGGCGTGGTTTCGAATCCCCGGTTGTACGTGGCAAGGAGTAGTGTCGCCTGTCCAACCTCGTGGGTTTTCCCCGGGTCCTCCGGTTTCCTTCCACTGCTAATGACCCCTACGCGCAAGCGAATTATTGAAATAAAATTGAACCATGTGTAAGTCCCGAAATGACCTAGTTTGTGTCGAGTGGACGTTAAACCCCATTTCTCTCTCGCTTTCCCATTGTCAGTGACCTGGCAAGGGACAGCGTATGGTCGTCCGGATGTGACGAAAAACCGCGGTCCAGTGTACATTGATCGATGAAATTTCAATTCCATACATCTTTGTAAATACTGAACGAAATTGAACTGATATTTGTATTAGAGATTCCTATTTACAATATTTTAGTTTGATAGTGATTCATATTGTTTAAAATGGCGCATCGCAAGTTTATTAGAATACTCCTTTATATATATCTAATGTCAGATCGGAAATCTTTCAACCTGTTATTCCAATCCTTCATTAATACGACAGTTCGTTCGTACGACATTTTGGTTGTTACATATCGTTAACGGTCGGCAAGTAAGTCTGACAGCGCATTAGTGCGACAGTTTGTTATTCTGGTAGTGTTAGAGTACGGAATATATAGATACCGGCGTTCAATAATACATCCGAATAACGGACAATCGGAATAAAGGGTTGATCGATTACAGATTCGTTACCAGTCCATCCAACACAAGGTTTAAGGGAACGTTTGTACGGGCGATCAGAGTAAAGCGCCGACACCAACGAAAATTATTATCATTAACTAGAATGTTGGCGAGAAAGCTAGTGTCTTGGTCTTCGAGTCGAAATCTTTCCAAGAAATGAAATTAAAAGGGCGGTAAAATAAAAAGATCGCGATCGAATCGTAATTATAGGCTACTTCTAAAGCAAGTGGCAAAAGATACGAAAGTGCAAGAACATTTACATGGGTTCGGACCACAATTAATCGACATTCTACCCGTAGCCTAAAATTTGAATTAACAAAATGTTTATTAAAATCCGTCAATTAAAAATATAGCTTCACTGTTCGGCTTGACTGCATCAACCACCCCTCGTCCCAATCCCGGATCCATGTTCTGGTTGGCTGCCTCAACCACCCCTCGTCCCAATCCCGGTTCCATGTTCTGGTTGGGTGCTTCAACCACCCTCGTCCCAATCCCGGATCCATTTCGTGACACATTAATGCTGTATCATAGCAACCGAAACGTGTAAATCTGGTTCATTGGTGGCACCTTTATATTCTGATATGCCTGAAAGTGAATCGTGTAATTCTGGTTTATTGAGTTCACGTGAAAGAAGAACACTAGACAGATGTTTTAGACCAGATTAGATAGGTACATCAGATCGCTGTTATCAGTAATCATTCAGCCTATAAATCTATTGTCATTATTTCACGCCATTCTAGATTCATAAAAACAAAATGTTTCTGTTATTGCTTTTTACTAGCTTGATTCTATCGACATGTAAGTATAGTTACTTCTGGAGACAGTTGATTTCTCGGGCGCTTGGAAAAGGAACTGGATGAGACTAGCCAGGAACATTCTTTGTATCATTCCAAACGGAGGCGAAATGTTGAGTAGGGTCTCCTCTCGAACCTCATGGGTTTTTCTCTGGGTTCCCCCACCACACTGCTAAAGACCCCTACGCGAAGCGAATTACTGATATAAAACTATATGTTAGTCCCGAAATGACTAATTTTATTTCAATAATTCGCTTGAGCTTGGGGTTATTTAGCAGTGGGAGGAAAAAGGGCCCTACTCCTTGTCACGAACAAGCGGGAAATCAAACCACGCCACTTAACTCAATGGCAGTCCTTAAGTTAAACCACTAGACCACCAACACCCCCTAAGAAGCAATTGGACAATATCGATGATGCCAAGCGAAAATTACACGGTTTTGGTTCTATTTCAGAGAGTGAATGTGGCATATATAGCTAACACAAAGCAAGAGGTGCTTCTCATCCAAAAACTTTGGCGCCGAGACTACATAATTCTATGGTTTCTACTGTACTATATTCGTATCTGACACATTGCCCTGTAACAAAAACAACAATGTTGAATTAGTTCTTCGAAATTTATTAAATAATATATTTGTATATTATATTTAAGATGGACAGCAGTGCCCTAATGGGTATCATCATCATGAACAGTCTTGTTACGCTGTTGTAACTTTCAGAGCTGACTGGTTTGATGCTGAGGTAAGTCGTGAGAGAGAGAGAGCGAGAGCGAGAGCAGAGCGAGAGCAGAGAGAGAGAGAGAGAGGGTTTAACGTCCACTGAACACAAACTAGGTTATTTCGAGACAAACGTGGTTTAATTGTATTTCAATAAGTCGCTTGTGCGTAGGGGTCTTTAGCAGTGGGAGGAAACCGGAGGACCCGGAGAAAACCCACGAGGTTGGACAGGCGACACTACTCCTTGTCACGTACAACCGGGGATTCGAAACCGCGCCAGTTGACCCAATGACAGGCCTTATGATACAGAGCGCACGTGCTAATCATTCGGCCATCCAACCCCCCGGAGGTAAGTCGTTTATTTACACCGCTGCACAAACCCAACGTTCTTTAAAAACACGGGAAGTCGCAGTGGCTCAGTGAATTCGAATAAGATGTTGGCTAGTGTTCGATCTCGTTGTTAGTCGAGAAATTTTGGGATTTTACGTCGTGATTTCTCCTTGTCGGTGGTGCATGTCTGGCGGGGGTGGGGGTCGAATCAAATGAGTTAAAAAAAGGGTCTTACAAGAGAAAACGTATAAACGTTCGAATGGTACGAAAACCGAGGCACCATGTGCTAATTGGCGTTCACGTAAAAGAACCCTTTGGCAGTTGAAATTCGATATATCAGCTGGCCTTAGCGCCGCTGTCTCGACAAAATTTCCCTCATAGTCATAGCAACCGGTATGACGTATGTCCGCCTTCATTAGTCCAATCGAAGCTGAATAGTAGGACGTTAAACCCCATTTCATTTCTTTCAAAGTACGTGCGATTTAGTTAAAACCGACGTGGTGGTTGTGGGTCGAAAAGTTACCGAGAGACTTTTCTGGTCTAGTTCTCACTTATATGGGTTGACACCCGTGCAGCTGACAAGGCCAGTGCGCCTAGTCGTTCAAATGGAACAAAAAACAGAGGCCTCGTGTATATATTGATATCACATGTAAACAGATCCCTTGACAGGTGTAAAGGGAAGAAGCGTAGGCGAAAATACCACAGCATGGGCGAAATTCTCCACCTTCGCCTTCCACACTAACCATAGAAATAGTAATAAACATTTGGTCTCAATGTTTAGAATGTAGAGGCAGTTTTTATTTTTCTATTATAGACAATGTGTCAAGCAGCTGGTAGTCATCTGGCTTCTATTGAAACAGACGCAGAGCGACTTTATCTAAACCAATATATTAACTTTTTACACGGTAAGTACCGTAAACCAATATATTAACGTTATACAAGGTATGTACTGTAAATCAATATATTAAGGTTGTACACGATATGTACTGTAAACCAATATATTAACGTTATACAAGGTATGTACTGTAAACCAATATATTAACGTTATACAAGGTATGTACTGTAAACCAATATATTAACGTTATACAAGGTATGTACTGTAAACCAATATATTAACGTTATACAAGGTATGCACTGTAAACCAATATATTAACGTTATACAAGGTATATACTGTGAACCAATATATTAACGTTATACAAGGTGTGTACTGTAAACCAATATATTAACGTTATGCAAGGTATGTACTGTAAACCAATATATATATTAACGTTATAGACGGAATGTACTGTAAACCAATATATTAACATTATACACGATATGTGCTGTAAACCAATATATTAACCTTATACAAGGTATGTACTGTATGACCAATATATTAAAGTTATACACGGTAAGTACTGTGTAACTAATATATTAACGTTATACAAGGTATGTACTGTTAACCAATATATTAACGTTATACACGATACGTACTGTAAATTTTATTTCTATTAAATTTTAACGGAATCGTAACGTATTAAAATTAATTTTGGACCTAATACTTGAAGCTTTTATAAGCTGGAAAAGTACCGTGTAGATCCAAATATATATTGTAATTTTTAGCAATCAAAAAGTCGCTCTCGCCGGCGTTCGAACGCATAAATACATTTGGGTCTCTTTTGTTTTTCTGCATTATACAATCATTATTTGATTGGTGGAAATAAAGGCGCAGGACGGAGGGCCTGATAGGGACAGTTGTCTAGTCATTCGGATGGGGCGAAAAACCGAAGTCAGTTGTAATTCGATATTAGAGTAGGCCGTAGCACTGCTGTCCGGGCAAAATTTCCCTCATAGGAAACTGTACGGCATATGCCCGTTTTCATTAGCCCAGTAGGAACAGAACAGTAGGACGTTAAAAACCATTCCATTTCATTTTCATTTCGATGGAAATAAACTATAGGCCTATGCTAAAGGTTGCGAGATACATTTGACCTCCAAGGTGCAGTTGGAAAGTAAATATTTACGTTTACTTCTGGCATAAAAACGGTACGGGGCGCAGGTTATAGCCCATAAAATTCCCAGGAACATTTTGCTCAACTTAAATTATCCTCCTGTTCTTTCAGGAACTAGTTATAACCATTATTTTATTGGTGCATTCAACTATATCGATGGTACCTACCAATGGACTCGTAACCAAGTTGGGTTAGGTCAGATACCTTGGAATACTGGAGAACCATCAAGACAAGGTGGTGAACATTGTCTAGCAATGGTACAGAACAGTCACTCTCTATTTGCGGACATTAGTTGTTATTCACTACAAGCATTCATCTGTGAAATCGAGTAAGTCTATTAGTGTTGTTGTTTGTGTTGAAGTGTTTTTGGAAAGGAAGGGGGGGGGGGGGATTTGTCTACCGGGCCCTTATTTACGAAAACTTAAACTAAGATACAATCGAAATTTTAAGAAATACTGCAATTCGATTGGCTAACCAGTAAAATCTATTTGCATATATCCAATGAAGTTGCAGTATTTCTTAAAATTTCGGTTGTAACTTAGTTTAAGTTTTCGTGAATAAGGGCCCAGTTTTCTTCGGTGGGACGAAAAGTCCGATGTTCCGTGTAGACGATTGCACGTTAAAGAACCATTTGAACATGGATCTAGGTGGAAACTGTCAACAAGCAACGAAGACCGATCGATGGTGCATGTACATACATTCGGCGCGATTAGTCTCTTTCATCCAGAAAAATATTCTACGAATATTAGTCTGGATGCGATGTCAACATTTGAGAATAATAGGTCATTGGCTAGATAATCCGGTCTTTTTCATTATCATAAACATAGTCTAAGGGAGGTAACTCGTCCTAAAACAAGATGTTGGCGCCCATGAAATTAATTTTTAAGAAAGCCATTTTAGAAAATCCATTTGTTTGCATTGTCAGTTCAATATCTAACGCTCTTAATTTTTTTTATTGTAAAATGTCTCTCTTCATGGGCCATATTTATGTTTTTTTTAATTAATCCTAATTCGTCGTCACAATTCATGTTTGTTTATATTAATATAAGAATTATGGAATTTATTGCGGGAAGGGTCACAACTCTTACTTGACTTGGCCAAAGATACTTGATAATCAACCGCATAAAAAACCAAACTTCCGGTTACGCATGTGCAATAGAACTTTTCGTCAAATATTGACAACGGTCCCAGACCCTCCCAACAGAACCACTGAGCTGCACATGCGACACGCAATAGCGCCATACACTTTGGAAGGGTTCATTGTCAAATTTGACACTTCAAGGAAGGGTTGATAAAAAAATGCCGCTTTGCTTTAGTGTGTTACGTTTAATTTGATCGGGAGACGTGTTCGTCGACGTCAACTGACAACACTGCAAGAATTGACACTGCAAGAGGAGTGGGTCAGATTGCCCCAAATCGTGATTGGACGGTTGATTAGGAGCATGCCACGAAGAATTGCTGAATGTCTGAGGATTGGTGGAACAATTACTCATTATTAAGACAAAAAACAAAAACGTCCATTTTCACTTTTGACAGTGTATCTCTTTGCGAGTGAAATGAGGCCGTCAGATAAGTCGCCCATATGAACTGTTTATGTTCATGTGTAGGCAATTGGCATGTTATTAACATACACTGGTTACCTCTAATAAATACATTATGCTCATACTAAAACAGGACATTTCAAAATAAACTTTTATTTTAAATTTCAGATTAAACTCGACAATAGTAGGATAATAACAACTGATTCTTATTCATTTTAAGTTTACATTGCTTTGAAAGCTATACGATATAAGTGGTTTAAAAGACAGATTATCTTATAGTTGTCAAATAACAAGTTCACCTAGTTAATAAAGTTATTAAACGGCCTGTTATTAGTTTTATTTATTTGTTAAAGGACCTGGGCCCTTATTCACGAAAACTTAAACTAAGATACAATCGAAATTTTAAGAAATACTGCAATTCGATTGGCTGACCAGTAAAATCAATTTGCATATATCAATTTGCATATTGGTCAGCCAATCGAATTGCAGTATTTCTTAAAATTTCGATTGTATCTTAGTTTAAGTTTTCGTGAATAAGGGCCCGGAATTAAAGGGGGCTGACTGGGCTGCAGCCAGGAGCCCTAATATTAAAGGGGCCTCCAAATTAGTTCTGAAAAATGTGTACCTTCAATACAAAAGTCATTTATTATGTTGTATTATATATTTTGGTAAAGAATAAATCATCTACGTACCGTACTGATATACAAATTATATTTCTGTGAATGTGACAGAGTGTGCCGGTTGTTAACAGTTGTTGCAGGGGCCCCGGTGACATTTTCAGCCAGGAGTCCCCATGCGAGCTGAATCCGATCCTGAGTGTATGTTAGGATTGTAAGAACATAATGATGGGCCGTACGTAACTAATGGACGATAATAAAAATGGTTGCTGGCTTTTTTTTCGCTTGTCTGCAGGTAGGGTGAGTCTGTCGTTCAGATTGAATGATGGGTCTTACAAATGGAGAAGGGAGCCATTGAGTATGGGGTTGACTTCGTTACCATAGGTCCCGGGTTCATTTCCTGGTATTGACTTAGAAAGTCCCTGGAAATTGCCGTGAAGTCCGGTTGCTTATGCCAGTGATTTAGCATTGAGGGGTCTAGGGATGGGGTTTGGAAGGGGGGTCCTGTTTAAAGACCCCCCCCCCTACCAGAGATCATACTTCTTGAAGGCGTCCAGTATCACATTTGGTCAACATTCCAGTTTACCTTTCGGATAACCTGCTGTGGAGACATAGCTGCTGTGTATTTATTTCCACTCTCTGAGTTCATTTGATCGGTTCATTAAAATACGTTGTACAGAAAAGAAACTCGTTTAGTCAATTCCTAATACCATTGTTAATTAACACACTATATTCATAGTTTTTACAATCATTAGTTTGGCACGTTTTTACAGCAGCTGAAACGTGTAAATCTGGTTTATAATGTTGACGTGAAAGTAGAACAATACACAGGTGTTTTCAGATTTGATTGGACAGGTACACGAGATCCTCAAGTCTGTTGTTATTGAGTTAAAGGAATTCGAGATCTTCAAGTCTATAAATCTGTTGTTATTGAGTTAAAGGAATTCGAGATAGATTCATATCAATCACCATGTTCCTGTTACTGGCTTTAACTACCTTGATTCTCTCAGTTTGTAAGTATGTATACTAAAAATTTGTCAATCAAAATATTTCTATTACTGGCTTTAAAGGAGCTAAAACGCCATTCTTTAGTACCTTGAAATTGACACAAATGGGTTGCAACGCATATAATAATGTAATATGAATGTATATAAACTGATTTACATTCAATCGTTTCTGTTTTTACTGTAATTTCTAATCAGTTATGTTCGGCGAAGAGTCCAGATTGAATGACAGTCTTTGGCATCTGGTTATTCGAATCTACACCTGTAGTATTCTCTTGTGAGATATGTTTAAACTCGTTCATAGAGGTCGCTTCATTACAAATGGCTTGCGAAAGCATTCTGACACGCGATTCGTGTGCCAATTTTAAAATTTTCATTTTGTCTTAAATATTGGATATCAAAAGCCCATCTTTTCCCGGTAATGTCACACCATCAATGTTGATATAAAGTTACAATTTCATATTTTCTAAGAAAGTCAAAACATAATTATTTCTATGTCTTTTGCTCAATAGGTTATCAACTCACTATTATACGATCATGAGTATCATTCTCACACTTAAAAATCATTGACACCGGAAATAATAACACAATTACCTCCATTGTTTTCCTATTCCCCACCATGGAATAGCTATCTTCAAACGTTTGAATTTGAAGTTGGAAATGATATTTTTGCCAATTTCTCAACTGGCAATAGTGAATTATAGGATTAATAGGATAATTCTTTAACAAGGTAGGACTGTTTATAGATACCATCCATTTTAAGACTTTATTTTAATAGATTTTAAAAATATAATAACTTAAAAATATGAAATTGTAACTTTAAATTGACCAATAAATCGTGTTGGCAATGTCGAAGACTTTGGATGATATTGGGTGAGATGAGTTAGAGATTTGTCTAGTAACTTTAACTAGATTGACTAAATCAGTTCGAACCACAAACGCTATAAAGGGTGATTTATTATATTATATTTAAGATGGACAGCAGTGCCCTAATGGATATTTTCAGAATGGGCAGTCTTGTTACGCTATTGTAACGTTCAGAGCTAACTGGTTTGATGCTGAGGTAGGTTATAGTTTATATACACGGCTCTATTAGTTAGTTAATCAATGGTCTTCCAACAGGGTGTACAGTTAAGGGAGCTAAACCACTGTTTTATGATTTCGTGCTTTTGGCACGATAGAGAGAGAGAGAGAGAGAGAGAGAGAGAGAGAGAGAAATGGGGTTTAACGTCCACTCGACACAAACTAGGTCATTTCGGGACTAACATATGGTTCAATTTTATTTCCATAATTCGCTTGCGCGTAGGGTTCTTTAGCAGCGGGAGGAAACCGGAAGACCCGGAGAAAACCCACGAGGTTGGACAGGCCACCCTTCTCCTTGTCACGTACAACCGAGGATTCGAAACCACGCCATTTGACTCATTGACAGACTTAATGATACAGCGCGCACGTGCTAACCACTAAGCCATCCAACCCCCCTGGCACGATAGAAATGAAATGAAATGGGGTTTAACGTCCTACTCTTCTGCACCTAATCTGGGCTAATTGAAGACGGCCCTGGCACGATAGAGATTTGAATTAGAAAGAAGCTTGGGACGCAACGCCAGAAAACCAAAAAAGCCTAATTTCTGCAATAATTTCTGAATCCGTTCCTGTGTAGTTCAAATGGAACGATAATAACGAGGTCCCCTGTATAGTGTATATTATAGTGTGTATAAAGAAATCTCCAGGCAGCTGGAATTGTAAGAGGACAAGGTGGAAACACCACTGCCTGGACAAAATTGTTCACACACGTATTCTTCAATAACCACAGGAATTAACATATGTTAGTCTCAATGTAACCCTTGTGGAGTGTTTACTATTGACAGCACCTTAAATATTGCCTGAAAGTTAGAAACGTTCCCTCACGGCACAATACCTGGCCAATCTGATTAAAATACAGATCTATATTTCGTTTCGTTTTTTTATACTTTCGATGGCCTACACTACATGAAGATCTGACAAGTTATAGCGATAGGTCACGTCAGGGGTCAAAAGACCGACTTATGACCCGTTTGACGTCAGACATTTTATTAACCAATCAGCATTGATGTTACTAGTGGATTACCCACAGTTCCGTGAAAAACACGCCTAAAGTTCGCCGTAACAGACCGTTTCATTGACTTATCCCTGACACCATTCAGAACACGAGTTAAATAACAACTCTTCCAGGTCCAAGTGTAGTAAAGATAAGTAAAACGAAATTTTGAACTATAAAAACGAAACGAAATAGGATCTGTGTTTTAACCAGATTGAATACCTGGCGTGTGTGTGTCTTCATTAGCCTGAAATTAAACCCGCTTTTCACCTCGCCAAAGACGCATTATGTAAGATTTTGATAAAGAGCTGGCCGTTCTTGCTATGATCTAGTTCGAAAGTAGATAATGCGAAATGAATATTGAAAATTTCATTCAAATTACTTTATTCTAAGCCAAGTTATCGCCGTTTGAAGTTTTGACAAGATGTGGCATAGATTGTTTATCATCGTAACAATGGTACTTGTTATTCGAGACATAGCTAGCTTTGCCATTTTTAAATTAAATCATTATTGACGAAACGTGATTCAATCCGTTTAAATCTCCGCCATTCGATGGTTTAGAGAGTTGATATAGGCATGTGACTAAATGTCTAAATAATAGTTTATATAACTCTTGAAGTCAAAATAAAAATCTTCAATAGGAGGATTTGGCTCTTGCATATGCACCTTTAACTATATTTGCGAAAACAAATTACCGATTTTTCTTCCTTTCGTTGTCTGTTTCGAACAATATTTCACATATTTAGAATACAGAAACAATTTTTAATTGCCTTTTCTAGACTATGTGTCAGGCAGCTGGTAGCCAACTGGCTTCTGTTGAATCTGACAATGAACGACTTTTTCTAAACCAATATATTAACTTAAAAGAAGGTATGTAAACCAATATATTAACGTTATACAAGGTATGTACTGTATACCAATATATTAACGTTATACACGATATGTACTGTAAACCAATATATTAACGTTATACAAGGTATGTACTGTAAACCAATATATTAACGTTATATAAGGTATGTACTGTAAACCAATATATTAACGTTATACAAGTTATGTACAGTAAACCAATATATTAACGCTATATACAGTATTTACTGTAGTAAACCAGTATATTAATGTTGTTCAAGGTATGTACTGTAAACCAATATATTAACGTTATACACAGTATTAACGTTATACAATATGTTAATGGTAAATATTAGCCAAACCGAAGACGTATTAAATTAAATCATGCCTCGTGTGTACCTACTGCTTGATGCTTGCACCGGGAAAATTACTGCAAAGATAAAAATATATGGTGGTTTGTTAGCATTCGAGAAATAATACCTCGCTGTCAGCAAGATTGATTATTACAATTCTCTCTAGCCTTCTTAATAGATTTTCGGCATCTTTTTATTTGCCGTAAGGAGTATACACAGGTGGCTGTAACGTCGGGAATCTCTTTTAATATTAAACTGTGACTAAATGAGCGAGATTATAAATTAACTTGTCTGAATCCGATTCCAGGGCAAATAACTCGTCTTGAAACACTACTGATAATCATTTGTTATGTCATGGTAACGTGGAAAATCTATTTCAATATTAATTTGTGACTAAGTAATGAGCGAGATTATAAATTAACTGGTCTGAATCCGATTCAAGGAGTAAATAACTCGTCTTAGGCCGATTCTTCCAGTAATAGACCCGTGGGAAAATGTAGTCCACAGAATATACTTAACATGTCCCCTTTTTTATCTACTATTTAGGTGATAGATACAACCATTATTGGATTGGTGCATTCAACTACATCAATGGTGTTTACCAATGGGTTCATAACCAGACAAGTTTAGGTCAAATACCTTGGAATTCTGGAGAACCTACAGGACAACCAGGTGAACATTGTCTTGCAATGGTACAGGACAGTCAATCTCGGTTTGCGGATGTTGGTTGTTATTCAGATGAAGCATTCGTATGTAAAGTCGCGTAAGTAGATTTTGTGGGAATTGTTCTATGGGATTGCTTGTCTATGTATTCGTGTGCGTATATTTGGTCTACAGATTGCTTGTAATCTATTAAGTCGCGTACCTATATTTCGTTGGGGTTATTGGGTGAGCTGGGTGGGGCGGGGGAATTGTTCTACGGATTGCTTCTTGTCTCGATATAGCATCTAGCCACAGACACAACTCGATGACGGCAACATGCGCCCACCGACCGTTTTCAAAACGTGTTACAACAGATCTAGGGTACAAACACGGTAAGCCTACTCGACGTTATCACATATACTAAACTAACAACAAACGGGTAGTCTTTAAACTATAACACATATTTATGGGGAAAAGGCCACTATTTCATTTGGGCGACATTTCTTAGAGCATTCTGCCAACAGCACGTTTGATCTGTGATGAAAGAAGATATTTTATATTTATCGACTATAATGTTTTTTTGAAAGAGACGTTTGACTTGGATGTTAAATTGGTTTATGTATTAAACAGTCTGGACACTAGCGTTCTAGTTTAAAACAGAGATGTTATGTTATTTACATCGTAAGCTGGTGTGTTTGTGATATTTTACTGCATATGAATATGGAATTAACGACATGAAAATTGCAATCGTCCCGTTTATCGTACAGTGTCACACCTAGGTTCTGTTTTTGGGTTAATAGTGAGAAGCAAATGCAAATAGTTGTCATTTTGGATGGAATATCATTAACTCATGGCAATACATGTATTCTATAACATTTTAAAATTAAATCTATATGACCACTGAATCCAAGATTTTATAGTGATAAAACATCGTCTATGAGTGAAATTGAACGTTTTGGCAAGTTTTCTATCTCATTTTACGAGATCGTGCATGCAGGCGGCTTCGTGCAAATGATAATCACATTCGCAGGTACATTATAAAGAAGCAAAGATGAGCCCCATAGGAATACCAATTACTTCTTGAAAACCCTCTCTAGAATTTCACTATCAGTAAGAAATTCAAACATTCCGCAGCGATACCATTGGCAACAGCATCTTCGGTCTTTTTCTTGTTATTTTAGTCGAGGTGACTCAGTGAGCACGGTGACGGTTCACCAACCATGAAGTCCTGGGATTGTTGGCCGAACCAGTCCCCCCACATTGTTGTCGAGCGCGTTTCCCCTTGTCAGCGGCCCCGGGCAGAGTATATGGCAAGAAATAGTTACATGTTGTTCGGATACGACGAAACCCGATTTCCCGTTGGTGTACGCGTAAAAGAACCCTTGGAATTGTCATTTGCATCTTCAATATAAGACTTGATCTCACTTTAACTACGTACAACTTATCAAGCCCTTCGCGTCATACCCCGCATATTTCAGCACTAATTACGATTGGGTACAAGCCCAGCTTGTGAGCCTATCAGATTCCTCGGTCGTCGCGAATACCAAGTCTCGCGCTTTCAAGCTAAAATGTCTACCTGTGATAATCGAGTTGTAAAGTTCAAGGTTCGCTCAATGTCAAGGTTTCTTGAGGAGTTCGCGATGTCACAACATCTGATTGGGCGTATAGATAACGTAGCTATAAGTTCGGGAATTGTAAAGTAATCTAGCAACGTCCAGATGTTGTAAAACTCGCAGTCGTTGCTTCAGAAACATGTGTCATTTGCAGCACACTTATGACGGTCGGCGCAGTTAAACCTCGGTTTGTTTAATTTTTGGCAACAGTTTGCCTTTTAACAATATATATTTTGAGCGAGTATTTCTGTATGTCTTTGGAATGTGTTAAAACACCTTATGGCTGGTTTCATTACTTCCTGCTAAATCTTACAGTCAATCTCTTTTCCAATCAACTTTCCTCTATTCATCATCCACATCGTCCAACCTAAACTCGCTCGCCAATTCAGAGGCCGAATAAACTAGACGGAAGATTATATAAAACAGGACATTTCATAATAAATCATATTTTCTAATTTCAGATTGAACTCAACAACCTTTGGCTAACAACTGTTGGTCATTCAGTTATGTTGCAGTGGTCTAATCATTAATTTTTGCTTTCAAATTTGTGGTTTATGGAAAATAAATCTATTAAAATTCTTCTGTTATTTTTTTTGAATTTTTTTTTTATTAAATGAAATGGGCTTTAACGTCTGGCTTTTTTGCGGATTTACAGACAACGGCGTCGGTCTTCCTGGATAGGCGAAGAAGCAGAGCTTACCTTGTATATGCCCCCCCCCCCCCAAAAAAAAAGAAGAAAATTTTGGAATATTTGACGACTGCAAACACGTTTTCCTGCTAGTTCAGCCCGTGAACAATCAATCAATCGTTTACAGTCCTTGGAGACGGGAGAAAATTTTGAAAACTTAGCTGACGCAAACGCGTTTTCCTACTATTCCAGCCTGTGAATACAGCAACTTCAATTTGTTCCAATATAGCCTACCTGACTGACTCGAATTCCAAACAACCTATCAATTGTCGCGGGGTATTGGGGCCTCACCCTCTCGGAGACAATTTAGAAAATTTAACCACCGCAAATGCGTTTTCTGCTATTCGAGCCCGTGTAAGCAACTCCAAGAGTATCCAATGGTTTTGTAACCGAAATCCCATTCTGAATTCCAATCATCCAATCAGACTGCTGCAGCTGCATTCACAAATAATAATCGATGCCCGAAAAATGTAGCACGAAGTAGAGTAGCTCCAGACAAAATGTTTTAATCCATAATCAATTCAGTACAAATTTGTGGTATTCAATTAAAAGAAAGTAAATTTAGTGTTTTATTAGGGCTCGATGACAGTTAGGGAAGCATAGTTAAGCATAGACAGTACAAATTCGTGGTATTCAATTAAAAGAAAAGTAAAGCTTGATAACAGTTAGGGAAGCAAAACTAGAAATGCCCGAAAAAATTGCAGGTTTACAGACAGCGGCGCTGGTTTTCTTCGAGAGGCGAAGAAGCGGAGGTGACCTTGTATGGACCCACCAAGAAAGTTTTGGAATATTTGACGGCCGCAAACGCGTTTTACTGCTATTCCAGCCCGTAAAACTAGTGTTTTATTAGATTTCGGGCACTTAAATTTGCCAAGTATATGAAATAAAATGGTTTTTTTCACTTTACCCGTCTGTCCGAAAAGTTGCCCGAAAGTTGGCCCCCCCCCACTCCCCCAGGCTCGTACGCCTATGATTGCCTATATAGTTGTTCGCCGATCGTTATCTCGCCAGAAACAGTTTTATTCAAGTTAACATAAAGTTCATGTCATATTATGATTGTTATTGATTTTAAATCCGCGCCTGCTGTCATGAATTCTTTGTGGTATACCTTAAAACCTGCCTCGAGAACTGCAAAATACACGGTATATGACTACAGGGGCAGTAGAGGGGCGGGGTACGGGTGGGACAACATCTATAGGTTATTTCTCCATTGACAAACCAGTCTTTTACCAGACATATTTTTCTTTCAATAAATCGTCGTTAATTTTACATACTAGAAATAATAAGGAAGCAAGAAAGACTACACTTTTGCTTGAACAGAAGATAATACAAAAAAAAAGTTGATAGACTTGATCACGTGGACTGTTTACCGGTTCACAAGTATAATGTTTATCTACTTTCAGTTTAGTTCTGAAAGTAGGCCAAAAATACATGTCAATAAACCGGAAACAGGTGCCCTTTGCTATTTTTACCATTACTCCATTACTGGGTCAATTGAAGAGTTTACTACAAAATGGCGGCTTACTATTATTGAATTTTGGAATATTATTGTTTGTTTTTATACGATTTTTGTTGTGTTTTAGCAAGTTTTGTGTTTATTGCGTTATTGTTTCCACAATGGGGGAGATCGGTGATTTGTTGTCACAATATTTTGTGCGTTTAGCATCGTTTCAAGGGCTGATAAACGAAAATCAAGCGAGTGACAGCGACTGTCATCAACAAACACGCGTTGGAAATAATATAAGACCAAATGTGTCTGTTAGTGATAGAACATCGTTTATAAAGTTAGCAAGAGCTGGATTTTATTATGCTGGACCTGTTGAAGGTATTCAGTGTTTTGTTTGTAAATCGAAAGCAAGATATTTAAATTGGAATAACGAATCTCCAGTTGCAGTCCACCGAATATTGAATCCATACTGCCCATTTCTTCAATCACCACCGGCTTCTTGTTCTAGTGAAAATAACATTTGCTGTAATTCTACTACCATAGAATCACCAGCCACTGATGGCCACGTATCAAATCATTGCTGTACAAATAGTCAACAGCCAGATAATCCTACCCAGTTGCAAGAACCCAGCGACGACAGAGGTGAAGTAAATGGCGTTTCAAATTCCATCCGTCAAGATGAAACACCTCCGAATGGTGGCTCTAATGCGAATACAACAAGGCAGTCGTTGAATAGCGTTCGCAGAAATTTATTCTGTGCCAGTCCTGCCGGTAACCAATCTAATCTTAACGTTGATAACAATGAACCAACAGATAATAACATCATTGGACCGCAGTCCCAATGGTCGGATCATGTTGAAGAATATGCCGGACGGCTTACACTTCCTAAAATCGGCGACAAACTTTTCAATTCTTACGAATCTTTTCGCATCCTCACCTATCCTAATCCCCAGGATGAAACGGCCGGGGAATGGGCGGCAGGTGGATTTGTGTACGTTGACGATGACAAAGTTCAGTGTGTTTATTGTGCGGGAATCGTGACGTCATACAGAGAACAATTAAACATAATAGAGGTCCATGAAAAAATCTCACCTAAAGGTCGATATTGTTGTCCAATGGTCAGTGGAATTGATGTTGGAAATGTGTCGAGGAAATTAGAAGAGTTAGTAAGAAAGAAGTTAATAAATAAAAATAACCGACCCAAATATATGAAAACCGGTTTCCGAGTTCTACATCCACAGTATAGAAGCATGGAAGAAAGACTAGCATCTTTGAGACATTGGCCAAAACAATACAAACCAACCAAAACACAGTTAGCAGAGGCAGGATTTTTCCATACAGGTACTGTAGTGTTTGAAAAAGGGAGCCATAGGGGCTTAGTCAGTAATTTGCTGGCTCAATAATCAGAAGGCCCCGGACTCGAGCCCTGTGTTGATATACAAAGTTTCTCGTGATTGACCAACATGGTTTACCCATGTCCGTGGTGCAGGATGGAGGGCCTGGCATTGAGAGAGAGAGAGAGAGAGAGAGGAGAGAGGGGGTTTAATGTCCATTCTCACAAACTAGGTCAATTTGGCACTAACATATGGTTCAATTTTATTTCAATAATACGCTTGCGCATAGGGACCTTTAGCAGTGCCAGGAAATCGGAACACCCGAAGAAAACCCACGAGGTTGGACAGGTGACCCAACTGCTTGTCATGTACTTTGTACAACTGGGGAATTGAAACCAGTCTGGCATGGAACTGTTTCTAGTAGTTGGTTGGGGGGAACAATAAGGTCCTTTGAACATGTTGATAGCATGTAAAATAACCCTTGAAAGTCCAAATTTGATGAAGCGTAATCGAAAATCCCGCTGTCCAGGGATAATTGTTCACATAGCACAATGCATGGGGTATATGATATACATACATCTATACCCATGGTTCGTGCAGAAAAGTACATTCAATTTCATTTTATTATTTACCAGTATTATAAACAAACTTTTCAGCTACAAGTAGTACCCGATACCTGACATTTAGATCTTTTAACCAGACATGTACATGTATTAATATCAATAAAAACATTGAAAAAACACAAATCTGTGTTGGATTGTGCAGGACCAAAACCTGAAAACACAGAAAGTTTACTGTACAATTCACAAATCATAGATTTCTAATTTTAATTTTTAATATTCATACTATATTTTCAGGTGTCGTAACAAAAGTTATATGTTTTAGTTGTGGTTTATCTATCAGAGATTGGGAACCAGAAGCAGAACCATGGCAGCAACATGCTTTAATATCACCAACATGTGGATTCATTAAATTTATAAAAGGAGAAGAATTTATTCTACAAATGGCAGCAATACAGGTAATTTTTAACATCCAGAAGATGTTTCTCTGCCATCACCGGGATCGAACCCTGAACCTTTTGGTTAGTTACGTGTAGCCAGCACATTACTGGCTTTCAGGATTGTTACTGACTGGATAGTTTTAGAATGATAAAATGGATTTGCCTCCCTTTAATCAAACATTGCTTTTAAAGAAGTAGAATAACATTTGACACCAATCTGATTAAGTAAATGAAATGAAATGAAATGAAATGAAATGGAGTTTAACGTCCTACTGTTCTGCTCCTAACCTGGGCTAATGAAGACGGGCATACGCCATACAGTGTGCTATGAGGGAAATTTTGCCCAGACAGTTGCACTACGGCCTACTCTTATATCGAATTCCAACTGCCAAGGGATCTTTTACGTGCACGCCAATGTGTACACGGGACCTCAGTTTTTCGTCCCATCCGAACGACTAGACAGCTTTCCTTGTCAGCCCCTCCGTCCTGCACCACTGACAAGGGAGAACCACGCTTGAAAATCTGGATGAACTTTCTCGGCCAATGCAGGGATCGAACACCCGACCTCCAGGCTAGCGAGCTAGCGTCTTACCCACTTAGCCACGTGATCCCCCAATCTGATTAAGTAAAACAGATTCTATTTCGTTTCATTTTTTATAGTTCAAAATTTTATTTTACTTGTGCTTACTACACTAGGATCTGGAAGAGTTGTTATATATATATGTAACTTGCGTTCTGGATGGTGTGAGGGATTAGCCAATGAAACCATGGCGACTTCTTGGCGTGCGATGCACAGAACTGTGGGTGAACCAAAAGAACGTCAATGCTGATTGTTTAACCAATGTCAGACTTCATAGGGTCAAAAGCCGCCCATATGACCCCCGACGCGACCTTCCACTAAAACCGGTCAGATCTTCATGTAGTAGAGGCCATCGAAAGTATAAAAAAACGAAACGAAATATAGATCTGTATTTTAATCTGATTGATTTGACACAAATTGTAATTTTTAATATAAATTTTCTATACATGTATAATATGTTTATATAAAATATATTTCAGCAACTGGTTGAAGTTGATCCATCAGTAACAGGTTGGTGATTATATCTTCTCTTTCTCTTGACCATAAAATAAAAATATAAAAAACTTATAGACGACAAAATAAATCTTCCATTCCAAATATATGTACAATGAGCTACATATTTATAAAGGAAGGAAAGAGGTTTACGTCTCATTAACACAATACTTTTGTAACTTGGGACTAACATATGATAATTTTCATTGATAATTTGGTCGAATAGTGGTTTCTCTGGACTAGATTTGTTATGGCCAACTCAATATTTGTCAAGGTTGCTGAGATGTAAATAAGGTTAGGGCACGTCATTGTTGGTGAGATTGTTGGTCTGGGTTTGGGAAATTTCCTCGGATAGTTTCTGTTCTCTCTTCTGAAAATTCCAACTGCCAAGGGATCTTTCATGTGCATTCAAAGGTATATACATGTAGGGGGTGGGTGGATGGCCGAATGATTAGTGCGTGCGCGCTGTATGATAAGGTCTGTCATTGAGTCGCCTGTCCAACCTCGTGGATCCTCCGGTTTCATCCCACAAGCGAATTGTGACCTGGTTTGTGCCAAGTGGATGGTAAACCCCATTTCCCTCTCTTTTTCTCTAAGATATACATGGCCCCAGGTGAACCTTCACTTTGCACTACTTTAACAGCGACCTAGACAGTGAGGCACTACCCCTGACCTGTCTAGTGAAAATCTTGTAAAATCTTGAATGGTTGGCTATTAAATGATGTCTTCCTTAAATTTTCAAATTTATCTAAGATTTTTTACCTGTAGTCTTAATTAACCTACAGGCTTCAAGTTCTATAATAATCCTCAATAATTACCTGTCTTCATTTTATAAGATCGAAATTTAAAACAAAATGTCCATGATAGAATCCGTCTTCATTAGCCCAGTTCGGAGCAAAACAGTAGGACGTTAAACCCCATTTCATTTCATTTCCATGATAGAATAAACCTTGTTTATCTTCTAAATAAAATTTTTGCTTTAAGGGCATAGCAAATCTCCATGTACATGTATTATTAGGTTTTTGTATGTAATTCATGTACAGAGAGATTGTACAGGTTTCTTATCCAATTTAACCTTTTTATGTTCTTTTGCGATATTTGCAATGCCTTACATGTATATATGTATATTGTATGGATAGGCCCTTATATGGGGGGGGGGATGGCCAAATTGTTAGCGTTATATCATAAGGTCTGTCACCGGTTGTATGTGACAAGGAGTCAGTAGGGTCACCTGTCTAACCCCGTGGGTTTTCTCTGGGTCCTCCGGTTTCCTTCCCCTGCTAAAAACCCCTATGTGCAAGCAAATTATTAAAATAAAATCGAACCATATGTTAGTTGAGCGGACGTTAAACCTCATTTCTCTCCTCCCCCATATCCGCCCCCGGACACTTATACCACAATAGAGTTGAAAGAGTTGGTTTCTGTCCATGACCCAATACCTTTAATTAAAGACCTTTATAAAGACGTGATATATTGTTTATATTTTACAGAAGCAGTAACATCAATAGGAGAATTAAATATACCTGATCCGTACCCTCCAACATTGAATACAACTCTACTAGCAGCTTATAGTACATGTGGGTACAACATCTCTACTACTCAATTACTTCATCTTATACAACAATTCTTTATACATACATGTGAGTAATATACACTCACCTTTATTACATTATACCTGGTTACTATTGACTACACTCACTTTATTACATCATACCTGTAGACAGGTTACTATTTACCTGTTATAATCTTGTTGTATATTATAGGTGGAAGATATCCAAGTGTTGAAATGTTAAAAGCTGCTGTTTTAGCTGATGGTGAATTAAAGAAACATGTTGACATCATAGATCTACAGGGTGAACAGCTACAGACTAAAGATAAACAGTTAGATAGCTTAGATCAGGTGATGACTGTTAAAGACCAGTATTACAAGACTACTGTAGCTTCTCTTAACCAGCATCATAATATTATCATTGATTGTAAAGAACAGGAGTACATCCAACAACTAAACCATAAAGATCAAGAGTACACCCAACAACTGAACCATAAAGATCAAGAGTACACCCAACAACTGAACCATAAAGATCAAGAGTACACCCAACAACTGAACCAAGCCAGTCATGAACTGAACCAACAGAGTCAACAACTGAACCATTATCGCTGTACTAAACGTCAGTTACGACAACAGATAAGAGAAAAAGACGACCATATTGAGAACTTATCTAACAGACTGCAGACGGCTGTTGACAGACATAGATCAAGGGAAGATAACTTACAACAAACTTTTCAGACAACTTTACAACAACAGACATATATACATCAGACACAGTTACAGAGAAAACAGACAGAATTAGAAACTGAAACAGCTCAATTACAGGCTGAGATACAGAAATATGAGGAAGAGTTATCTAACTTGGTTACAGAATTCACTAGAATCAAATCTACAGGTAAATGATTAACAAAACTATACAGTTATATGGGACAACAATCACTGGTTTATTATACACAAGCACAACGTTTCGATAAGTATTCTCTTATCGTTATCAAGCACAATAAACCAGTGATTGTTGTCCCATATAACTGTATAGTTTTGTTATGTTTCCAATTGCTAAATGCCACTAAAGGATTATAGGTAAATGATTGTTTTAATAATTATTCAAGATAAATAATGTCGCGTTTGTTTTAGTTGTAGTCTGTAGCGTACATTATTACAATCAAGTTAAATCCACACCAGGCCTGGAAATACTAATTATAGTTTTACCTTACAAAATGTCAATGTGTCAATTCTGTCCAATCTGATTAAAATACAGATCTATATTTCGTTTCGTTTTTTTATACTTTCTATGGCCTACACTACATGAAGATTTGACCAGTTGTAGCGATAGGTCGAGTCAGACGTCACATGAGCGGCTTTTGGCCCTATGACGTTAGACATTTGATAAACCAATCAGCATTGATGTTACTGGTGGATTACCCACAGTTCCGTGCAAAACGCGCCTAAAGCTTGCCGTAACAGACCGTTTCATTAGCCAAGTCCTCACACCATTCAGAACACGTCAATGATAACAACTCTTCCAGATCCTAGTGTAGTAAAGACAAGTAAAACGAAATTTTGAAATATAAAAACGAAATGAAATAGGATCTGTGTTTTAATCAGATTGAATTCTGTCTACTCTTCATCAAATTGAAATTTCTCACTGCCAAGCATGATTTTAACGACACACTGATACAGGATCTTGTTTTATTTCTGTCCCATCCGAATGACTAGAGACTGTTCCTTACCAGGCCCTTCATCTCCCATCAAATGGAAACCAGGAACTTTGTGAACCTGTCCTGTACCTTGAAAATCTCTGTTTCCACTCTGGGGGCTGTTTCATGAAATTTTAACTTAGATAAAATCCAAATTTTAGTAATTTGATTGGATAATATTGGATTGATTTTAGTGCTTAGCCAATCAAAATTGAAGTATCTACTAAAATTTGGATTTTATCTTTAGTTAAGATTTCGAGAAACAGGGCCCTGGCCATTCGTTTGGTTTGTCAAAATTGAAATTCTGTAGAGGTAAAATCTTTGCCATTTTCTGTCTTCGTAATTATCTGGGCCATGGCTAAGATGGAACCCATTACCTTCTGATTAGTGAGCCAACAAATTTTTCACTGAGCTATCGTGATTTGTTTTATATTTCAGTTAATAAGCGTGAAAATCAACAAGAAAATCAACAACCTGACTCAACAGCTGTCAATCAACCTGACCCGTCTGCTATAAATCCTGATAGATGTCTGATTTGTTTATCTGAAACTCGCGTTGTTTTATTTCGACCGTGTAAACATGTTTGTTGTTGTACGACTTGTGCTCCTCATTTCATGGATTCACCTTGTCCCATCTGTCGTACTACTGTTCAGGATTGGGAAATCGTTTTTCTTTCTTAATTCAGCTGTATTTGACAAATATTAATTTTTATGACTTCTATTAAATCACGGATTCATCATGTCCCGTCTGTCGTACTTGTGTACACAATTGGGAAATTGTTTTTTTTTCGTAATTGAATTATTTATAACTGCCATTACCCCGGTAAACCATGGTTATATTCAAATGTTTATATTTTCGTTAATGTATATGATGATATTATTACTTTAGTTATTAGCTTTGGTATTTCGAAACTTAATTAAACTGTTTGAATATAAACATGGCTCATAAAATATGCCATGTGAATATTATTTAGGGCATTTTATGTGAAATGAATCAAGCTTAACATCCTACTTTTCGGAGGAAAATTTTGCCAGGACAGCAACATTTCCACCTATTCTATTTTTGAACTCGGACTATCAAGGTCAGATTTCGATACATGTAGCACCTGTGGTTCCACAAACAAATGGCAGGTAATCAGGCGTAAGATGTCAGTCACACCTGTAGTTCCATGAGCAAATGGCAGGTGGTCATTTATTAGAACCAGATGAATTTCATGTCGTACTGTTAGATATTATCATACAAATGTACATATTTTATAAAATAAATGGAATATCTTTGTAATGAATTTTGTAGACATGTATTGAACAAAAAATGGAAATGAAATATTCAGTCAATTAGTTTCATTTGTTATTTAGTTTTTAAAGGCAGCAATACTCATCGTTTTATTATTCAAAGATGAAAATATTCATAAAAATATTGTATATACATGTATAATGTACATAACATTTTATTTTTATTGTCATCTTTTTAAAAAGTTGTTAAATATAGGTGTATATATTATCTAGTGTAGTTCCTCATTATGGCATGTTAAATATTGGGGTATATATATATTATCTGGTGTATTTCATGATTTAGTCATATACCCCAGTTATCCCCCCTTTGTAGATATGTACATATATAATAAAGGCTATGTGTCTTTTAATTTGCATTTATTTATGGTTTTTTTTAATTTTCTAGTTTTTAAACCATGTATATAAAATTCCTAGTGCTATGGACAAATGAATTTCAATATGAATTGTATTTATTGAAGTAGAATATTATATTTATTATAATAATGTTTTCTTCTAGTGCTATCTGTGTATTATTTTACTATAGTTAATATATACAGAGACGTAATACGACGTTTATAAATTGGTGATTGTAAATCTACTTTATTAAAGGATAGAGTGAATCTAGCAACACCAGTTCATGGGTTCAACGTCGGCCGTATATGCCGGTCAAGACCGAGGGCTATGGAAAATGACTGTAACTAGATCTGCTCCATCGGTCATTTGCATGTAATACCACATTAATAAATTGATGAATGTAAATCCACTTTAAGGGATAGACTGAATCTAGCAACACCAGTTCACAACGTTGGAAGACACAACGATTGACGCATGAACACCAGAATATTACATTTCACAAATACTGCCAGTAGACCATATGCAGCTATCTACAGTAGGCCTTATCTAGGCCTATATAAGGATCATTTATTACAATAATTTACATTTATCAATAAATTACCATGTGTAGATATGTGTGCCAGTTTTTATTTATTTAAATTGTATATATATTTACTTGTTAATATGAAGTATATTACCACTCATAACATCACATCATCTAATCTAGATTTATTTATATCTATTTTCTCTTGTAAAATCACTTACAACAATCTAGATACATTTACGTTCTTTTAGCATTTGTTATATCTATTTTCTCTCATATCTATTTTCTTTGACAGTTATTGTATGTTTTCACTCATACAATTACTATAATCTGAATTCATTTCCTTTCCTTTAACATTTATTGTATATTACAACTCAATCTAGATCCATTTCCTTTCCTTTGGCATTAACTGTATATTACAACTGAATCTAGATGCATTTACTTTTCTTTGGCATTTATTGTGTATGTTCACTCATAAAATCATTTACTATAATCCAAGCCCCGGTTTCACAAAGCATTCTCAGAATTAAGTTAAGAATTTACTCAACTTTCAATCACTGTTTATAGAAATATCTTTGATCCAGAAACACAAAACTTTACACATAGTTTCTTATTGATGTATTTGCTACATTAAAACAACAAAAGTTTTATAAAGGGTTATGGTTTAGTTAAAATAAGGAGAATAATTTTGAGGAAATTCTTAACTCAAGTCTGAGAATGCTTGGTGAACTCTGGACATGATGTTTTTACTTTCTCTAGCATTTATTGTGTCTGTTCATTCATAGAATCACTTACTCTAATATAGATCTATTTACTTTCTCTAGCATTTCTTGTCTATGTTCACTCATAGAATCACTTACTCTAATATAGATCTATTTACTTTCTCTAGCATTTCTTGTGTATGTTCACTCATAGAATCACTTACTCTAATATAGATCTATTTACTTTCTCTAGCATTTCTTGTGTATGTTCACTCATAGAATCACTTACTCTAATATAGATCTATTTACTTTCTCTAGCATTTCTTGTGTATGTTCACTCATAGAATCACTTACTCTAATATAGATCTATTTACTTTCTCTAGCATTTCTTGTGTATGTTCACTCATAGAATCACTTACTCTAATATAGATCTATTTACTTTCTCTAGCATTTCTTGTGTATGTTCACTCATAGAATCACTTGCTCTAATATAGATCTATTTACTTTCTCTAGCATTTCTTGTGTATGTTCACTCATAGAATCACTTACTCTAATATAGATCTATTTACTTTCTCTAGCATTTCTTGTGTATGTTCACTCATAGAATCACTTACTCTAATATAGATCTATTTTCTTTCTTTTAGCATTTATTGTCGGTATTTTTATACAAGTTTTGTACAGATATATTAATGTATTTTTTCTAGCACTATGTGCCATTTAGTGTCACTGCCTTCTTGTACATGTTTAATTTTTATTCTTAAATAAACTTTATAAATAAAGCTGGTTTAATTAATTTATTTATTATATCTACATAGTCATAGATTGTCTTGTTCAACCTTGTCAACATGTGTAAACATATATATACAGAGAGACTGGCCAGCTGAGGTTATGATCGCCATTTTGTTACCCAATCTGGAGAGAGAGAAATGGGGTTTAACGTCCACTAGACAAAAACTAGGTCATTTCTGGACCAACATATGGTTCAATTTTATTTCAATAATTCACTTGCGCGTAGGGGACTTTAGCATTGGGAGGAGAACGGGGGACCCAGAGAAAACCCACGAGGTTGGTCAGGCGACCCTACTCCTTGTCACGTACAACCGGGGAATTGAAACCGTGCCATTTGACTCAATAACAGACCTTATGATACAACCCACACACGCTAATAATTCGACCATTCAATCCCCCGGGTCAGAGACAGGAAACATTTAGTACTAAAATTTAACAAAAAAACCCCCAAAAAACATTTGATTACCCAAACACTGTTGAGACAATAGTTGCTCAGACCTTATACATCAATCTGTGTAAACACTATTCTGTGATAATATCCGAATAGCCGTGATAAATCTTATTAACAGCTACAATTGATACACTATTCGAGGCTTTGCGCAAGTAAAATTAGGTTCAATAGCAAAATTTTCAACACATATCATCACAGTTTGCATGGAAATAAGTAATTATATTAAAAATAGTGACGAGTGGAACACTGAAATCATAATCTTATATTAACAAACAGTTTTTCTGTATTTTCTAGTGTTATGAAATGACATGATTCTGGTTCGGCGGCCATTTTAAAACGAACAGAAATTTCGCCTAGTAGTTGGGTTTAATCAAATCATATAATTATACGGCAAGGTTTCGCCTCGCCTTTATTTCAATGGGAATTGGTTTATTATATGTTAAGCCATGTAGCCTACAGTACAGATTTTTGGGGTCAGTGTAATTAGAAATTAAGGGAGTTATAGGCCAGTAACTTTTTTGTAGTCAGAGGAAGGCCTTAGGACGGTCCACTACTGTGGCTGGAGCCAATCTGGTTAAAACACAGATTCTATTTCGTTTTACTTGTCTTTACTACACTTGGATCTGGAAGAGTTGTTATTTAACTCGTGTCCTGAATGGTGTCAGGGATAAGCCAATGAAACGGTCTGTCACGGCGAGCTTTAGGCGTGTTTTGCACGGAACTGTGGGAATCCACTAGTAACATCAATGCTGATTGGTTAATCAAATGTCTGACATCATAGGGTCATAAGTCGGTCTTTTGACCCCTGACGTGACCTATGGCGGCTATAACTTGTCAGATCTTCATGTAGTGTAGGCCATCGAAAGTTTAAAAAAAAAACGAAACGAAATATAGATCTGTATTTGAATCAGATTGGGCTGGAGCAAGACGGAAGACACCAGTAGTAGTGTAACCGAAATGAAATGAAATGAAATGAAATGAAATGGGGTTTAACGTCCTACTGTTCTGCTCCTAACCTGGGCTAATGAAGACGGGCATACGCCATACAGTGTGCTATGAGGGAAATTTTGCCCGGGCAGCGGCACTATCGCCTACTCTTATATCGAATTCCAACTGCCAATGGATCTTTTACGTGCATTCCAATGTATACACGGGACCTCGGTTTTTCGTCTCATCCGAAGGACTAGACAGCTGTCCTTGTCAGACCCTCCGTCCTGCATCACTGACAAGGGGGAACCACGCCGGAAAATCTGGATGAACTTTCTCGGCCAATGCAGGGATCGAACACCCGACCTCCAGGCTAGCGAGCCAGCGCCTTACCCACTTAGCCAAGTAGTGGAACTATTTCTACTCTTAACTCAGCAGCCAAATATAGAAAACAATGAATGAGAGAGAGGGAGAGAGAGAAATGGGGTTTAACGTCCACTCGACACAAACTAGGTCATTTCAGGACTAACATAGGGTTCTTTAGCAGTGGGGGGAAACCGGAGGACACGGAGAAAACCCACGAGGTTGGACAGGCGACCCTACTCCTTATCACGTACAACCGGGGATTCGAAACCACGCCAGTCGACTCAATGACAGACTTTATGATACAGCGCGCACGCTAACCATTCAGCAATCCACCCCCCCCCCCACCCCAACAATGAATGAAACGTGTAAAGTTGGTTTATTAAGTTCACGTGAAAGACAGATGTTTTTTTTTAAAAGACTAGATTAGATTAGTTATCAGTAATCATTCAGCTTATAAATTTATTGTCATGGTTTGAAGGAATTCTCGATAGATTTATGTCAAATAAAATGTTTGTGTTTCTGATTTTTACGTGTTTAATTCTCTCAGTATGTAAGTATGCTAAACATTTATCTCAGTGAAATGGAGTTTTAAAGTCTAACACTTTTACACCAACCGGGGTAATGACGACTGACATACACCATACAGTGTATGCTGCGATGACAAGTCTGCACAGAAAACGACGTTTCCGCCTACTCTTAAACGCTAAACTCCATTTTCTGGCATAGCACGATAGGGGATACTGGTAGCCTGGCATATCCTGCTTCGGGATTAACGTTGATACCGAACGCCCAACTCCATTTTCTTGCATAACACGATATAGGATACTGGTTTCCTACATATCCTGCATCTAAATTAAAGTTGATACCAAACGAATATAAAATTATAATCAGTATTCGTGTGTATTTCTGGAGAATTTAGAAACTTCGAACGTGTAATAATTTGTTGAAATTAAAAGAGATCCAGCCGTTTTTTTTATCTTTTAACCAGAATGTGCGCGTGTAACTATCCATTTTATTATTTAAGATGGACAGTCGTGTCCCAATGGATTCCACCGACATGAACAGTCTTGTTACGCTATTGTAACTTTTAAAGCGAACTGGTTTGATGCCGAGGTAGGTTATAGTTAATTTACACTGATGTAGTAAGCCAAGGTTTCTGATACGGCGTTTACACGAGCGAACAGATTTGATGCTGAGGTAGGCAGTTAATTTACACTGATGTATTAAGCCATAGTTTTTATCATCTTGCCAGCTTTTTAAAATATTCTGGAATTAGATGATCGATTGGTTTAAATTGTACGCTTTCGATCATAAGGTGTGGTTTTCACCCAAGCTTGTACGTGGCAAAAAGCAGGGTCGCATGTCCAACTTCATGGTCACTGTGTCGGGTGGGTATTACCCCCCCCCCCCCCCCGAGTATTATGCCCCACCCTGTCCACCAGCAACAATTGGCTTGTGAACGCGACAGAGGCTACAAATTTGGCGGACTCTTTTCAAATTTCGTGTGAAGCATCGTGGTCATGAGGGGACAAACCCTATCGCTATTCAGTGTTCCGCGTGTGTCCCCTTTTTCCAAAAACATTGTGGCCGCGATACAGGCTGTAATTTTTAACATATGTTTTTCGAATTCCTCATAAGAGGATGAACACTATCGATTTTCAGCATTCCGTGAATCTCCGTTCCGGACTTATGAACCCTTTGTCTAAAATCTTGTGGGCACGATAGAGGCTATAATTTAACAGATTTTTGTAAAATGATGGGATGAACCCTATCCATCCCGGAGTTATCCCCCTTTGTCAAAAACCTTGTGAACGGGATAGAGTGGAGATTATAGTTTTTAACGAAGTGTTGGAATCATGAGAGGATGAACCATCGATATTAAGCGTCCCGGAGTCATCAAATGTGCTCAAAACCCAAGTTTTCTTTTCGGATAAGCTGTAGTTGAGATTAAGCTGATGTGTGGCTATCTTTATTTTTATTATAGACAATGTGTCAAGCAGCCGGAAGCCATCTGGCTTCTATTGAAACGGATACAGAACGACTTTATATAAACCAATATATTGACTTTTTACACGGTAAGTACTTTATTAATGCTATAAAGATATGTTCTGTAAACCGATATATTAATGTTATACAAAATATGTACTGTAGACCAATATATTAACGTTATACAAGGTATGTACTGTAAACCAATATATTGACGTTATACAAGGTATGTTCTATAAACCAATATATTAACGTTATACAAGGTATGTACTGTAAACCAATATATTGATGTTATACAGGGTATGTACTGTAAATCAATATATTAACGTTATACACGGTATGTACTGTAAACAAATATATTAACGTTATACAAGGTATGTACTGTAAACCAATATATTAACGTTATAAAAAGTATGCACTAACGTTATACACAATATAACATGTACTGTAAACCAGTCCTTTCGTCCGTCCATTTTGGATATGGAAATAGGGTCTTACCCCATAGGTTGCAGTAAATGCTTGGCACCTAAACGATTAGAGATAAAACAAAAATACAGAGACTGAGTAATTGATAGATGGGATTATGTTGCGTATATGTTGGTTGACACTCAAAGGGACTCTTGGACTTTGGTATTCTCAGGAACAACTGTTTTTATTCTGGGAGGGGTGGTGGGGGTGGGGGTATATGTTAAAAACAAGCCGTAAACTTTGAATATTTATCATCATCTAAGTTATTGTTTGTTTATCTATTTTGTAGGCAGTACCTACAAATTTCACTGGATCGGTGCATTCAACTATATTGATGGTACTTACATGTGGGCTGGCACTCAGAAAGGTTTAGGTCAGATACCTTGGTATACTAATGAACCATCAAGACGACCAGGTGAACACTGTCTAAAGATGGTACAGGCCAGTCAATCGCAGTTTGGTGATTACGAATGCGATCAACCAGAAGCATTCGTCTGTGAACTCGAGTATGTATTCTTCAGATGATGGTGATGGTGATAGTGGTGGGAAGGGTTCCTCTTGAACTTTAGATCACGGATTCCAGTGCATTGACCGGGGAACCCGGTCGGCTAAGTTGGTGTTCGCCGAACAGTTGTTATAGGTGGTCGGTATATTTTGCCAATCCATATTTTTGAGCGAACATTTTGACCTAAATACTTTCATCGCATTCATCACTGACCTCGTGACACCTTTAGGATGACCACCTACTTCTGGTTACGCAGATCGAACCGCAACAGAAATCGAACAGGACCACCCTATCCTTAAATGGTTATACACAGGACGAACATTTTGGTGAGAATGAAATGAAATGAAATGGGGTTTAACGTCCTACTGTTCTGCTCCTATACTGGGCTAATGAAGACGGGCATACGCCATACAGTGTGCTATGAGGGAAATTTTGCCCGGGCAGCGGCACTATCGCCTACTCTTATATCGAATTCCAACTGCCAGGGGATCTTTTATGTGCATTCCAATATATACACGGGACATCGGTTTTTCGTCTCATCCGAAGGACTAGACAGCTCACTTGTCAGGCCCTCCGTCCTGCATCACTGACAAGGGGGAACCACGCCGGAAAATCTGGATGAACTTTCTCGGCCAATGCAGGGATCGAACACCCGACCTACAGGCTAGCGAGCCAGCGTCTTACCCACTTATCCACGTCATTTTGGTGGGGATGTGAACTTTCCAGATAAGCGGTATCAGATGACATACCCCCCAACCTTGTGAATAACACTGATCATTATAGTTCTATAAAGCAATAGATGAATATAACACGACTCTCGGATGTTCACTGTTTTTATCAAATCACATTTTTTACTTCCAGATTTAATTCAACAACAGTACACCAATAACAAATATAATTTGCATGGTTTTCTTGTCTGCAATATCACTATTGTGAAAGCAGTCATTAAAAGACCTGTCCGACCAGTCCATTATGGTTGTCATTCAATTATCATATATGTTTACATTGCTTTGAAAGTAAAACGATTTCAGTGAGATATGTGTGTCATTATTTTTATTCCGTTTCGAACAATAATTTGGGAGGGATATTGAAATGTGCTCCGCCAGTCCTACCATTCCTGTTTTGTTTCCATGGCATATCTTATAAACCGTTGTAAAATTTCTGTAAAACTTAGGAAGATGATCAGACAGCGGCGTTTCCGCGTCCATCAAACTGCAATTGTCAAGGTGTAAAGGATTAAAGGATTATAGTACGTACGTACTTGCCAACATGTACACGGGTCCTCGGGTTTCCCCCCAGTCCGAGGGACTAAGGCATTCCCCACTGTCCTGCACTACTGACGAAAGAAAACCACGCTGATAATTCCCAACAAACCTTCTCGGTGAACACTAAATCACTAAATATTTGTTATTGAATTCAATAATACCCATAGTGTGTGATACTGGTTTTGTTAATGTCCATTGCCCACACACCTATGTATAACAGGACTGGAATGTCAGATATATCTAAGTAGTAATTAATTTGTTTTGGAGATTATATCGGTCAGTAATTAAAACATACCAATAACAGATCTAGAGGCTTGTGTAGACACATCTGTTTTGTACACAGTTTCCATATTAGAATATCCCTTGCCTACTTGACCAATCACTTAATACTTGATTTTATACAGACATCATTGCGACAAGATCTTGAAGTTGGTTCCATGTACCTGGCACGGACGAATGAGATCAGAAAAAGACATTATTTTGGTGCGTATATATGTGATATTATCAGAGCTTTTTGTAATTGGGTATCAGTGAAATTAAATGAAATGGGGTTTAACGTCCTACTTTTATGCACTGTCTGGGATAAAGAAGATCGGCAAAAACCATGCAGTGTGCTCTGTGAGACATTTTGTCCGGGCAGTAGCTGATCTATAAGATGTGAATGGGGTGGGGAGGGTGGTTCAAAGTCTAGAGCGCCATTCAAAATCTTATCCCACAATGACTGTCCACAAAACACGTAATAAAACGCATCAAATAACACTGATCGCCCTGTGGCCAAATTCGTTGGGGACCCGAATTCGCCAGGGGCCAAAATTCACCCAGGGCCCAATGGCCTAAAATATTCACAAGGCCATGGTGGTTAATTTGATACCAGATATGTGGGAATGGATCATGGCGACAAAACGTGATGGGCGAATATTCATACAATATTTGATTGTAATTATATAGATATAACGTCGCCGATTGTTATGTCGTTGGGAAGTAGTTTTATTCAAGTTGACATAAAGCTCATGTCATATTATGATTGTTATTGATTTTGTTATTAGATTTCTTTTGTAAAACTTAAAGGCGCTACGGCCTACTCTTAGTTTTTATTTCAACTGTCAATGGTTCTCGCAATGTGTACAGATCCAAACGACTAGACACTGTTCCTTGCCAGGCCCCCTGTCCTGCACCATTAACATGGGATAACCGCGCCGTAAAATCACTGCGAAGTGTCTAGGCAAACGCTAGGAGCGAACCCGAGACCCCATCGCCAGTGTGTTACTGTATGTGATAAAATGAAATGTCCTACTACATGTTCGGCTCCGAATTGGGTTAATAAAAACTGGCATGCACCATACAGTGTGCTATGAGGGAAATTTTGCCCGGACAGCGGCACTAAAGCCTACTCTTATATCGAATTCCAACTGTCAACTGATCTCTTTCGTGCACGCCAATGTTGTTTCGTCCCATCCGAACGACTAGACAGCTGTCCTTGTCAGATTCCCCCGTCCTGCACCACTGACAAGGGGAAACCACGCAGGAAAAACTGGATGAACTTTCTCGACCAATGCAGGGATCGACCAACCGACCTACAGACTAACGAGCCAGCGTCTTACCTACTTAGCCACCGTGACCCTCGCGTTACTGTATGAGCTATCACGGTGTATAAACACATATTTATAACAACAAAGGTTTTTGGTATTAATAGAACACTACGTGAAGTCATATTATAGTCTATATTCAACACAACGTGAAGACAAGGATTTTGTTTCACTGCCCTGCCAAAGAAAATTGGTATACTTGTCCAATCAGGGAGAGCTATCTTAGAAGAGTGGTATCTGGGTTTTGGAAATAAGAAATCGGTGACTTAAAGCAGCTAAGTCTGTAACTCAATATCATCAAAAGTCTTTGACATTGAGAACACGAATTATTTGTCAATTTAAATCAACTGGGAAAAGATGGGCTTCTGATATCCAATATTACGTTTCAGCGCCATTTGTAACAAGGGGCTCGACGAACGAGGCTAGACATATTCTACAGATATGTCAAACGATGACGCTATATTCTTATCTGGAGGGTATGCGCAATAAATAATATCAGTGTAGACTGGAATAACCAGACGTTAGAGATTGCCATTCGATTGGGACCTGATTAGAAATTAAGGTAAAAACGGACACGATTTTATGTAAATCTGTTTATATACATTCATATAACATTATTATATGCCCTGCGACCCATTTGTTTCAATTTCTAGGTCACAGATATTGGCGGTTTAGCTTCTTTAAACATGTAAAATGAAATGAGGTTTAGCGTGGTTTAGCGTCCTACTTTTCTGCTCCGACTGGGATAATGAAGACGGACATACGTTATGCAATGTGCTATGAGATAAATTTTGCCCTTACACTGTCGCTATATGGCCTACACATATAGAATTCCAACTGCCAAGAGTTCTTTTACGTGCACATGGGAAATTTTGCTTAAACGTGTAAACCTGTGGTTGTTTTGACCCTATGTTCCCCCGTCAAACAATTCCTGGATCCGCGTATATGGTTGCACCTTTATATTCTGACATGAATGAAAGTAAAACGTGTATATTTGGTTTATTGAGTTCACGTGAAAGAAGAACATTAGACAGGTGTTATAGACTAGATTAGTCAGGTACATCAAATCTTTGTTATCAGTAATCATTCAGCCTATAAATCTATTGTCATTATTTCACGGCATTCTAGATAGTTTCATAAAAACAAAATGTTTCTGTTACTGGCTTTTACGTCCTTAATTCTCTCAGTTTGTAAGTATACTAAAAATATGTCAATCAAAATATTTCTCATTCTGATTTTTACTAGCTTAAAGATACATTATGAGAGATTAGATAAAGCGCTGACAGTTCTCACTATAATAGTTAAAAACTAGAAAATGTAAAGGTGATTTACTAAAAATGTCAGTCAAATTGATCCACACTGAACCGAGAATTTAGCGATTGAATTTTCGACCTAGCCTCGATCATCATTACTAAAGTCGGTACGATAAAAACATAGTCTCGATTATTCATTTCATGATTTAATCATGAATGAAAGTTGATCAGCAAATCGGATCCTAATCCAGTAAATATCGCAGGCTAGCGATGGCACCGAGTGTTGATTATGGTCTGGATAAGTTAAATAATGTCTAATTAATAATTTAGATAACATTTCAGGCCTAACGAAAGACCTGTAATAGACAGATCTAGCTCTTGTATAATGTATGTTTAATGTCCAATTAATAAATTATATAACATTTCAGACCTAAAGAAAGACCTACAATAGGCAGATTTAGCTCTTGCATAATGTATGTTTAATATGATTAGTACAATGACGTCATTATTAATGTGACGTCATAATGTATATTTAATGTTCCTTTATGTAAGAGCTAAATTTGTCTTTTTCTGGCTTCAAATGTTGTATTTTTATTTATTCACGTGACAAGTCTGTAATCAACTCTCTGGAATTCCTTCGCTATTTAATGATTTAGCGATGAAATGGGTAGATGATCGAGACTTTGTTTATTATCGCAGCAATGCTACTTGACAACCGAGATTATCTTGTCAAGAGTTCTATGGAAAACAATTACTGTATTATATTGTGCTTGAACATGACAATAGAATCATTGTTGAAACGCGGCTCTGATTAAATAGAGTTCCATACAACTCGCGTGTTTATCTTAATATTGTTTACAAAAAAAAAATGTGTTCAATTACTAACAGGGGTGGGTCCAGGATTTTCAGAAAGGGGTGGGGGGTGCGAAGCCCGGCTCAGGGTTTGGCGGAGTGACGGGCAACCAACCAAGTCACCAGCCGAGTAAATTACGATTTCCAACCTAAACTGACTGTTAATTCCTTTCCCGCGAGAATATATGGGGTAAAAATTGTGCGCCCCCCCCCCCCTTCCCCTGGACCCGCGTCTAACTAAATGCCATTCAAACAGTAACTCATAACCTCACTCGGAATAAAGTAATTTTACTGAAAGTTTTAATATATTCATTCTTTTTAACTATTATAACAATATATATAATATATATCAAAGATGAAATTCCTCCCTTGTATCTTGTAATATAATTATATTTTATATTCTTGATATATTATTATTATACTGCACTACTATGTACTATAGGCCAGAGGGCCTGACAAGGACAGCTGTCTAGTCGTTCGGTCCCGCGTACACATTGGCCTGCACGTAAAAGATCCCATGACAGCTGGAATTCGATATAAGAGTAGGCCGTAGCGCCGCTGTCCGGGCAAAATTTCACTCCTAGCACACTGTATGACGTCTTCACTAGCGCAGTTCGGAGCAGAAGAGTAGGACGTTAAACCCCATTTCATTTCATTTCATTTGCCTTAAATACTGAATAAAGATTTGATTTTAATTGATAATGACCATCTCCTTATTTAAATCTTATACCGTGCATCTTTAAGTTCATCGCTTTAGACCTTGTATTTGCTTCACCACAAAGATTGACAAATTCTTCTCTGTGGTCGGCTTCATAGCATGAAACGGGAGACTACGTCTGAATTAATGTGGTTATCAAAATGGATTTAAACCCAGAATTAGTATCCGTATCCAAAGCCCAGTTTAGGCATGGGCCGAGGGGCCCAGGCCCTGGGCCCACGGTTTAGGGGGCCCCGCGGTTCATGACAAAAAGAGAAAAAATTCAAATTCCAGATGAAAGTTTCCCAGTAATCGATCTAGCGGCGCGAGGACGGAGACTGAGCTATCCCTCAACCTTCTCTGTGATTGGTCGAAACCCATTCAAAAGGATATGAAATAATTTTTTAGTCGCGATAGGGGTCCCGCGATTCTAGTCAGGCGACGGGCCCGCTCCGGTTAAGCTGGGCTTTGTCCGTGTGGATTAGGATTAGGCCTTTAACACGTACATTTTAAAATTTATCTGAATTTAAAGCGATTCGGCAGTTTTCTGGGACCAGTGTGCCTTTAACAATAAATTTCTGTTTTCTATATGAGATGGACAACAGTGTCCAAATGGATATCACCAACATGAACAGTCCTGTTACGCTATCGTAACTTTCATAGCCAACTGGAATGACGCCGAGGTAAGTAATTAATATACACTACTGTATTAAAGGATAATATTGGTGCCAGTCATTATCACATATGTGATAGAACTGGTTAAACATGTTCCAAGTATAATTTTATCACAAAGATCATTGCTACGATAGATGCATTGTGAAGCTTCCAAGAAACGAAAGTGACGAACGCACAAATAAAACACGAGTTATCCTTCTATATAACTGACTGAAGTGACGAGTGATAACAGATACACGTGCGAATTTCTGCTCAGTAATAATTCCTTCGAAGACTAAAAGTTGTTATATGAGACTGTGGGAGGATATCTGACAATTCAGAAAAATTATTGACTGTCACTAGATAAGAGAAAACGCGAAAAATAGAAAAGGTCCGTGCATTACGACGTACCATATTTCTATTAAGTATAGAATGAATAAAAACTAGGGAATGTACGGATTATTTCAATTTTTCTCGTTTTCCTCTTATCTAGTGACATTCAATTACTTTCTTGTGGGTGCCACGAGGGAGGGAATTTTTCCCGGACAGGGCACTGCGGCCTACTCTTACTTGGAATTCCAATTGTCAGGACTTCTTTGTTGTACCCACCAATTGTGTACATGGGACCTCTGTTTTCTTTCCACCCGAACGACTACACAGCAAAGTGTCGGTCTATGCTTGATTGAATTTCAACTATCAAGGGTTCTTTACGTGCACACCTACGAGTACAAGGCGTTCGTCCCTTCCGAACGACTAGACGCTTTTTGCGATGGGGTGGGGGGGGGGTGGTGATGATGGTGGATGGCCGAGTGGTTAGCACGTGCGTGCTGTATCATAAGACCTGTCATTGAGTCAACTGGCGTGGTTTCGAATTCCCGGTTGTACGTGACAAGGAGTAAGGTTGCCTGTCCAATCTCGTGGGTTTTCTCCGGGTCCTCCGGTTTCCTCCCACTGCTAAAGACCCCTACGCCCAAGCGAAATATTGAAATAAAATTAAACCATATGTTAGTCCCGAAATGACATAGTTTGTGTCGATTGGACGTTTAACCCCATTTTTCTCTCTCTCTGTTGCGATTTTGACAGTCACCCTAGGATCGATCCAAGGACCTCCAGGTTTATGAGCCAACGTTTAACTCACCAGTTTGATCAAAACTCGTTTATAAAATCAGTTTTGAATTAATTTTAAGTTACAATTTCATATTTTCCAAGAAAGTCAAAACAGAATTATTTCTATGTCTTTTGCTCAGTAGGTTGTCAACTCACTATTATACGACCATAGGTTATCTTTCTCACACTTAAAAATCTTCACACCGGAAATAATAACACAATTAACTCCCAATTACCTCCCTTGTTTTCCTATTCCCCACCATGGAATAGCTATCTTCAAACGTTTGAATTTGAAATTGAAATGATATTTTTGCCAATTTCTCAACTGGCAATAGTGAATTATAGGATTAATAGGATTATTCTTTAACAAGGTAGGACTGTTTATAGATACCATCTATTTTAGGGCTTTATTTTAATACATTTTAAAAATATAACTTAAAAGTATGAAATTGTAACTTTAAGTTGTAAACCACTTTCTTAAATCGTCTAAAAGTTCATAAGCTTATCTATGCTATACTAACATATTATCTTCCACAGAGAATTGAACACGAGATTTATTTTTCTATTTTAGACAATGTGTCAGGCAGCTGGTAGTCACCTGGCTTCTGTTGAAACAGACGCAGAACGACTTTATCTAAACCAATATATTAACTTTTTACACGGTATGTACGGTAAATATATTAACGTTATACAAGGTACGAACGTGTGTACTGTAAACCAATATATACTCTTCAAAGAAAGTAGGCGATATTGAAATGCAAATACCTATGCACGTTGTGATATGATAAATAGTCATGGACACTTGACATGCTTTGAGAGTATGTTCACAGATGAAGAACTTATCGCCCCAACAGAACCACTGAGCTGCACATGCGACACGCAATAGCGCCATACACGTGGGAGGGGTTCATTGTCAAATTTGACACTTCAAGGAATGGTTGAGAAAAACTGCCGCGTGCTGGTTTATCTATCCATGTTTGCCTTCCCATCGGTTCTTGCATAAGATTTACTGTTTTGCATAACTTTGCTTTAGTGTGTTACGTTTAATTTGATCGGGAGACGTGTTCGTCGACGTCAACGTCAACCGACAATACCACAAGAATTGACCGTGGCACTGCAAGAGGAGTAGGTCAGATTGCCCCAAATCCTGATTGGACGGATGATTAGGAGCATGCCACGACGAATTGCTGAATGTCTGAGAATTGATGGAGCAATTACTCATAATTAAGACAAAATCAAAAACGTCCATTTTCACTTTTGACAGTGTATCTCTTTGAGGGTGCAATGGGGCCGTCAGATAAGCCGCCCATATGAACTGCTTATGTTCATGTGTAGGCAATTGACCTGTTATTAACATACATTGGTTACCTCTATTAAAACATCAGTGTATCTCCGCAGTTTTGTATTGTTTCTGAATATCCCCTACTTTACTTGAAGAGTATATTAACGTTATACAAGGTATGCACTGTAAACCAATATATTAACATTATACAAGGTTTGTACTGTAAACCAATATATTAACGTTATATACATTATTTACTGTAAAACAATATATTAATGTTGTTCACGGTATGTACTATTAGCCAATATATTGACGTCATCTGAATAGATGGTACATACACTTGGGTTAGTACGCAAAACGACTGGTGATATATGAAGAGTCCAGGGGAAGAACGATTTTTGTCTTTTCGCATAAAAGGTAAAACAGACTTTTGGACGAGAATGCTTGACGCGAACAGAACAACGAGTGGATTTAATTACAACTTCAAAATGATGTTTAATACGAATCATAATTACCAGTACAACAACTGACTTCCACTTTTCAGCCAAATTAAGGTCAAATAAAGGGTACGATGGACGTATTTGTCCAGGAGGCCATTCCAGAATAGCCTTGGTTCGATTTGACCCCGATCGTTTTTACCTGAAATTGATTGTTCCACAGAAAGCTTATACAATTTGCTACCAGATGGCGCTATTAACTGGGGTTCGTGACTTAGATCGTTCTTCCCCGGGGCTGTTTATATGGCAAAAACAAGACCTAAAATGTCCATATTGTATCTACGTTTTAGGAAGTAAGTACAGATATTACTGGATTGGTTCATTCGACTTTATTGATGGTACCTACATGTGGGTTGGAACCCAGAATACATTAGGCCAGATTCCTTGGTATCCTGGAGAACCATCAAAACGACCTGGTGAACATTGTCTAATGATGGTCCAGGATAATCACTCTCTGTTTGGGGATTTCGAATGTAATACAGAGCAAGCATTTGTCTGTGAAGTCGGGTAGGTATATTTTAGGTGGTGGTGGTGGTGTGGCGAGAACGGACAGTGCCTCGCTTAAACTTTAGATCATTCCCGGGTAACAAGGAGTGTGGTCAAACCTAGATAACATGGTTGAACAAATTGAAACGCAACACAGATGTAGTAATATTCTTTTGAACGTTAAACTCCTTTACTTTACGTTCTGTTTAATATGGACCTCACTACGGACTTTCATATGGACTTCACTACGGACTTCATACGGACTTCACTACGGACTTCATGTTGTGTTCTGTTAATACTAAAACTCAAAAAACCCGTGTTGCCCTACATACGTGTTTATATAGAAATAAAACATCGCAAATATCATTTTACAAATAGTCATGATATTAGATAAAAGCACAAGTCATAGGAACTCTAAATGTCTCTGCCTCACAGGTTGAATGATATGGAACCAACTTCAAGATGTCAGTTTTAAACCCACATACTCCAGGAACAGCGGGGTACTAAATTAACTGATTTATTAAATCAAGGAATTCCTCCATTAATGGCCTATATTATGGAAACTATGTAAACAATAATGGAACTATAACTTAAATAGATCCTACTCAGAACCAAGTAAACACACACTGTTTACCATAGGTATAGAAAGACCCCGCCCATCCCCGTCATTATAGCTACATAAAGCTATGGATGGAACTAACATGGTTATAATGTTACTTATGTATCCTGTACCCCCCCTCTCTCTCTCTCTCTCTCTCTCTCTCTCTCTCTCTCTCTTTTAGACGGTTTTGATCAATCACATTTTCTACTTTCAGGTTAAACTCGCCAGTTGTAGGCCAATAACAACAAGAATTGATATGGTCTTCATCCAATTACTAGATTCTGTTTACATTGCTTTGAAAATAAAACTTTTTACATGCTTTAAAGAAAGATATTATTAACATTTATTATACCGCGTTGAGCGGAGTTTGTAAGTGTTATTGATACGGGATCCGTCAGTCCTTCGTATGGAATCTAATAAGTACCCATTTGCGTCTTCGTAACCTTTACATCTGCCATGCGAACTTCTAGAGGAAACCAAATGTTGAAGCTTGAACAACAGGAGTACTTATCATTAAATACATAAAATAATGTCTGAAACTTAAACGTGTAAACACTTGAAATGTGCTCTTCTGGATCCGTGCATTTCATTTATCCTGCAATATGATTAAAAAATGAAACGTGTGGTAGCCTACTGGTGCAGTTTGCTCTGTAGCATAGCCGGTTGAACATGGAAGATAATTCAACAGCTTGCTAATCGCCGAGGTATGACGGGCGTGTTTACTGTTTAAGCTCTCCAATCCTGAACTTCATTTCGGGACTAACACATGGTTCAATTTATTTCAACAATTCGCATGCGCGTAGGGGTTTTTAGCAGTTGGAGGAAACCGGAGGACCCCTAGAAAACCCACAAGGTTGGACAGGCGACCCTACGCCTTGTAACGTACAACCTTATGATACAGCGCGCACGTGCTAACCATTCGCCATCCAACTCCCTGTTAATCAATGGGTCATTTTAATATATACATATATCATCTATTTCCCTAGCAGGACATGCTAATTACGTCATATCTTACCAATTAGATAATTGAAAACTGAAACCTAATGGTATAAAACCAACTGAGCTGTTGGCGTTCGATAGACAGCCGCTAAATTCGGCAGAGACCACTGGGGTTCAAGAGAACCAGCAGGATTGAGCAGACGCCATTGATATGTAGGAAAGTCATATGATGTAGCCGCCAGTAAACTCATCTGCGAATTAGGGGAGAAAGACGTGTTAATTTAAAGTATTGTAATGCAACCGATGCTTGTAACCATGTGTATCCAGCTTGATAGAAAATGTAGAAGCGGTAGAAGCGAACAGATGCATTTTTATTCCTGGTAGATAAACATCTTAACTACTGTGACAGTAAGTAGAAAATACACAACGCGAAAATGAATCCAAAGATGAGAATTACAAATACTAGTAGACGATCACACTATTAAAGTAGCTAAGTCCCTAACTCAATATCACCACAAATCTTCGACATTGAAAACACGATTTATTTGTCAATTCAAATCAACATTGGTCTTGTGATCTTACAGGGAAATTATGGGCTTCTGATATCCAATATTCAAGACAAAATAAACATTTTACCATTGGGTACACGAATCGTGTACACGAATCGTGTACCATAATGCGTTTCAGCGCCATTTGGAACAAGGGACCCAAAGAACAGGGCTAGACATATTCCACAAGTCATGTCAAATGGTGACGCTTCTTATCTGGAGAGCATGAGCAATAAATACCATCGGTGTAGACTGGAAAAACCAGACGCTAAAGATTGCCATTCACATGAGATTTCTGACGTATTTCGCCGAACATAACTGATTAGAAATTACAGCAAAAACAGAAACGATTGAATGTAAATCCGTTTATATACATTCATATCACATTATTATATGCGTTGCGACCCATTTGTGCCAATTTCTAGGTCCCAAATATTAGCGATTTAGCTCCTTTAATATATGTAGCAGAAGAGAGGCCTATGGGATGTGGGGAGTCTTCGGCTGGCTGGCTTTCCACATCTAGCCAGCGACGCATAGCACGCATAGTGCTACACTCTGGGTGTCAACTGGTTCCACCGTCAAATAATTCCTGAATCCATGTGCTTGGTGGCACCATTATATTCTGAAATAACTGAAAGTAAAACGTGTATATCTGGTTTATTAAGTTCACGTGAAAGACAGATGGCTTTTTAAAGACTAGATTAGATTAGTTATCAGTAATCATTCAGCTTATAAATCTATTGTCATTATTTCACGGCATTCTAGATAGATTCATAAAAACAAAATGATTTTGTTACTGGCTTTTACGACCTTAATTCTCTCAGTTTGTAAGTATACTAAAAATATGTTAATCAAGATGTTTCAATCACTGGCTTCTACTAGCTTGATTATATTAGTGTGATAGTAGTCTTATCATATATCAATCATTAATATTCTATCAATATGCAAGAATAGTTTTAACATGGATACAAGACGAATGCCTGACAGTGGCGTGCAGACAGTACTAAGAGGTTGAAGGAGCCATTTGTTTGAGTACTAGGGATCGGAAGGGGTGGAAGGGGCATACAATCAACTAACCACAGCACAGCATTGTTGTTTTGTGTATTAGACATTCCTCCACACGTGTATTACCTTGTTTTATTTGTATATTTGAGATGGACAACAATGCCCTAATGGATATCAACAACATGAACAGTCTTGTTACGCTGTTGTAACATTCAGATCCAGTTGGGTTGATGCTGAGGTAGGTTCCAGTTTATTTACACGTCTGCATTAAGTAATAGGTACGTTTACATTAGTTAATTCCAATTCAAGTTGAAAATTAGTCAGTTGTCCACATTTGACGAAAATTTACTGGACAATCAACCACATAAAAAACCCGGTTACGCATGGGCAATTGAACATTTTTTTTGTTAGATAAAGTCAAGAAAGAGTTGCTTCCCTTCCCGAAATAAATCGCATAATTCATGCATTATTATAAATAAACATGCATCGTGACGACGAATTAAGATTGTTAATAAAACCCATTGATGGAATCCTTGAAGACAGAAATTTTACAATAAAAAGTTTAGGAGTGTTGGATATTAAAAAAGCAATGGAAATATATTTTTCGACAATTCTTAATTTAATTTCATAAGCGTCGACATCTTGTTTTAGGCCTGCCCACAGGGTAAAGAAATCACACCACTTGTGCTGCTGTGTTTTACTGAATTCAGAATATGGCCACGAATTTTATTTTTCTATTATAGACAATGTGTCAAGCAGCTGGTAGTCACCTGGCTTCTATTGAAACAGACGCAGAACGACTTTATCTAAACCAATATATTAACTTTTCACACGGTAAGTACTGTAATCCAATATATTAACGTTATACACGGTACGTACTGTAAACCAATATATTAAGGGGGGTTGGATGGCTGAATGGTTAGCACGTGCGTGCTGTATCATAAAGTCTGTCATTGAGTCAACTGGCGTGGTTTCGAATCCCCGGTTGTACGTGACAAGTAGTAGGGTCGCCTGTCCAACTTCGTGGGTTGTCTCCGGGTCCTCTGATTTCCTCCCACTGCTAAAGACCCCTACGCGCAAGCGAATTATGGAAATAAAATTGAACCATATGTTAGTCCCGAAATGGCCTGGTTTGTGTCGAGTGGACGTTATACCCCATTTCTCTCTCTCTCTCCCAATATATTAATATTATATGAACGTTATACAAGGTATGTACTGTAAACCAATATATTAATGTTATATGAACGTTATACAAGGTATGTACTGTAAACCAATATATTAACGTTATACATGGTATGTACTGTAAATTCTAATTTAAATGTCATTTAATACAATAATTCTTTTTGGTCTCTGTTTTGGTTAATTGTTATGTATATTGCATTGCTATCCCTCGCCGAACGAACGGAGTGATTTTGAAATGGGCCCTGTCGTTCCATCATGTTGTGCACACACCCGCAGGAATCCATCGAAGGCCGGCCAGGGGTTAACCAAAGAACATTTTGAGCCCTTTCCTGTCGGTTTAGATACAAACTGTAACCGAAACTTTCGTTGCCCAAATCAGACGAAAAATAAGATCGGCATCTCCCACTGCTAAAGACCCCTACGCGCAAGCGAATTATTGTAATATAATTAAACCATTTGTTAGTCCCGAAATGACCTAATTTATGTCGAGTGGACGTTAAACCCCATCTCTCTCTCTCTCTCTCTCTCTCTCTCTCTCTCTCTCTCTCTCTCTCTCTTCAAGGTTTCTTTTTTTTCTACTGTTATAGGTGATGCCTACAGATATTACTGGGTTGGTGCTTTCAACTTTATTGATGGTACCTACATGTGGGTTGGAACCCAGAAAGGATTAGGCCAGGTATCTTGGAAGGCTGGAGAACCAACAAACCGACCAGGGGAACATTGTTTGATGATGGTACAAGATGATCATTCTCTGTTGGCTGATCTGGGTTGTGATTCAGTCGAAGCATTTGTCTGTGAACTTGAGTAAGTATACTTCTGGCAGTGGGGATTGGGGTGGACAGGGGTCCGTTGTCTGTGAACTCGAGTAAGTATACTGTCTGTTGGTAGTGGTTATTGGGATGGACAGGGGTCCTGTTGTCATTTGTCCGTGAACTCCAGTAAGTAAATTTCTGGTAGTGGGGATCGGGGTGGACAGGAGTCCGATTGTCATTTGTCCGTGAACTCGTGTAAGTATACTTCTGGTAGTGGGGATCGGGGTGGACAGAGCTATACAGTCTGACCAACTGCAGCCATGTTGGTTACCCAATCTGTAAGTTTAATGTTTAGGTCTAAATATTAAGGCCAACTGCAGATTTGGTCAAAGGTCACGAAATGTAATCAGGACTAGCACTAACCCACAATCTCGTCAACAATCACGTGCCCTAACCCTATTTATAATAATAATAATAATAAATATCTTTATTCAAGTACCTTGTGGTCAAAAGCCAATCGTACAAAATGTATAAATTAAAAGTTATGACACATAACTAGTTTTATGCCTTTTTTCATATATATTCATTGTATTTAAGTGTGGGCCTAAAGTTATTATGACGTCACGATATCTAAGAGACGTCATCTGTTGATCTATTATACTCGACGTAAACCAGCGGCGGCAGTCAACGCCTTGTTTTTAACGTGATTAAACGTCACCCACCCACCACACCCTGTTTGTTTTCTGTCGATATGCAGTTTAAATTCCGCTGTTTTTGTGTTGGCGGAATCTTTCAGATCCCCACTTTGGTAGAAAGCTAAATTGTGTTGTATCCTCTACGGTTTTCAGTTTAAATTAGTACATGCTTATTTTTCATATGCTTTTAATTTCATGTTGCATTTTATTAAACGTCACCTTTGGTGGCCTTTTCAATTTCAATAAAAAGAAAAAACAAAAGAAACAAACAAAAACAACAACACATAATTAATCAATATAAATGGAGAAAACAAACAGAGAAAAATATACAATTTTATATTTATGTTGGTTATATTGATAGTTATTCTTCCCTTATTTTCATACCCTATTTATATCTAACGACCTTGACGAAATCTGCAGTTGGCCCTAATATCAAGAGGTAGCCAACTTTGATGGATAAAGTATTAGAACAAAACAGTGTCAGTGAAAACGAACAGTTCTGTATAATATACAATGTATGAGAAAGGGGAACTATACATATCTGTAATTAATAGAACTAAGATTAGACAAGGACGGAGGAGCTGACAAGGAAAAGCTGTCTAGTCGTTCGGATGGGACGAAAAACCGAGGTCCCGTGTACACATTGGCGTGCACGTAAAAGATCCCTTGGCAGTTGGAATTCGATATAAGAGTAGGCCCAAGTGCCGCTGTCCGGGCAAAATTTCCCTCATAGCACACTGTATGGCGTATGCCCGTCTTCATAAGCCCAGTTCGGAGCAAAAGAGTAGGACGTTAAACCTCATTTCATTTCATTTCATTTCAAGATTAGACAATGACGCCATTTTGTTACAAAGCACAATAGAGACAATGTCTATATTTGGCTCTGGGCCGGGGTCCAACTAGTGAAGTATTTCATTGAATCCAATGACGTGGTTTTTTCCCTAGACTCATTGAATCAACTGACGTGCTTTCGATTCGCCGGCTGTACGTGACAAGGAGTAGGGTAGCCTGTCCAACCTCGTGGGTTTTCTACGGGTCCTCCGGTTTCCTCCCACTGCTAAAGACCCCTACGCACAAGCGAATTACTGAAATAAAATTGAACCATATGTTAGTCCCGAAATGACCTAGTTTTTGTTGAGTGGGCGTTAAATCCATCTCTATCTCTCTCTCTCTCTCTGTCTCTCTCTCAATCTCTTGTCCCGACCATTACCAAAAATTTAAAGATCTACCAAATGTTAATCCCGAAATAACCTAATCTAAGTTGACTGGATATTACCCACCCTCTACCCTTTTACCCTCGTTACAAATGTTTCTAACATTATTGGTAATTAATCGCTTGATCTGTATCTAGTTATCTTGCCAGGAAAGTTTGGCTCACTCTGGAAGCAGCTTTCACGAATTATCCCCCTTGGACCACAAACACAAAACCTTTTGGATTGTGTCACACGCTGACATTAAATGGGCTTTAACGTGCAACCTGTTTGCACCAACACGGCTAAAGAAGACGAACAAGCACCGAGTAATGTGCTGTTGGCCTGACAACTGTTCTTTGGCCTACTGTTTATGATAAATCATATTTTCTACTTGCAGGTTAACTTCACCAATATTAGGCTAATACCAACACGAATTTCTATGGTCCTTTGATGCTTGAAAATAAAACGATTCCAGTGATTATAAGAAAATTGTGATTTTTATTTTCCCTCGCTGAACGACATCTTTGAGAGATATTGAAATCCTGTCCAAGCAAGTTGTGTACTCGGTTACTCTCCCACTTCTCTGCATTGACTCGTGTTGTGAACATGGCCATAGGCACCCTGTAGGTGATATCAAATCAAATTAAATGGGGTTTAACGTCCTAATGTTCAGCTCCGACTGGACTAATGAAGACGGGCATATGCCATACTGTGTGCTATGGGGGGAATTTTGCCCAGACAGCGGCGCTATTCTTATATCGAATTGCAATTGCCAAGGGATCTTTAACATGCACGCCAATGTGTATACGGGACCTCGGTTTTTCGTAAAATCCGAACGACTATACGTTGTTCTGTGTACGGCATTCCGTCCTAGACAATATAAGAGAAAACTATCCAAGCATCCGAATTGCATGTTTTGTACACCCAATATAATTGAAGATTTGTACCATATATTTATTGTGTGTAAGACATATCATGAACTACGAGTTCAATATTTGAGTGACTACATTAACGAAGAGAATGGATTCTATAATTTATTATTAACATGCGATGAAAACCGTTTGTTACAATTATCTACTTTTATAGATAGGGTATGGGTATTAAGAAACAAATTGTTAAAAACCCAGTCTTAAATCCTATTTACTGACTATCTCACCATTTCTATACACCAAGGCTGTTGAAAAGTAATCTACCTGCACGTATCATTTATTATATTGTTATAGTTACATGTATATATATATATATATATATATATATATGTATTATTACCAATCCATACCAATCCATACCATACCACTGTCTTATCTGACCACTTTATTGTATTATGATTTGGATCTATGGGTCTTTGACCTAAATCCTTAATAAATAATAAATAAATAAAAAATAAATAAATAAATATCGAATTCCAACTGCCAAGGGATCTTTTACGTGCATTCCAATGTATACACGGGACCTTGGTTTTTCGTCTCATCCGAAGGACTAGACAGCTGTCCTTGTCAGGCCCTCCGCCCTGCATCACTGACAAGGGGTAACCACGCCGAATAATCTGGATGAACTTTCTCGGCCAATGCAGGAATCGAACACCCGACCTCCAGGCTAGCGAGCCAGCGTCTTACCCACTTAGCCATGTTGAGACGATCACGCTATTCAAATATGTTGCAGAAGAGAGTATGCGTCACACGTTGTGTGTGGGGAGTCTTCGGCTTGCTGGCTTTCCACATCTATCCAGCGACGCATAGCACCGCATAGTGCTACACTCTTTATGTCAACTGGTTCCACCGTCAAACAATTCCTGGATCCGTGTGCTTAGAGACACATTTATATTCTGACATGGCTGAAAGTAAAACGTGTAAAGTTGGATTATTAAAGTTCACGTGAAAGACAGATGTTTTTTTAAAGGCTAGATTAGATTAGTTATCAGTAATCATTCAGCTTATAAATTTATTGTCATTATTTCACGGCATTCTAGATAGTTTCATAAAAACAAAATGATTTTGTTACTGGCTTTTACGACCTTAATTCTCTCAGTTTGTAAGTATTATGTCAATCAAATTGTTTCAATCACTGGCTTCTAGTAGCTTGATTATATCAATGTGACAGTAGTCTTATCATATATCAATCATTAATATTCTGTCAATATGCAAGAATAGTTTTAACGTGGATATAAGACGAATGCCTGACAGTGGCGTGCAGACAGTACTAAGAGGTTGAAGGGGCCATTTGTTTGAGTACTAGGGATCGGGAGGGGTGGAAGGGGCATACAATGCAATCAACTAACCACAGCACAGCATTGTTGTTTTGTGTATTAGACATTCCTCCACACGTGTATTACCTTGTTTTATTTGTATATTTGAGATGGACAACAATGCCCTAATGGATATCAACAGCATGAACAGTCCTGTTACGCTGTAGTAACTTTCAGATCCAGTTGGGTTGATGCTGAGGTAGGTTCCAGTTTATTTACACGGCTGCATTAAGTAATAGTTACGTTTACACGTACATTAGTTAATTCCTCTTCAAGTTGAAAATTAGTCTAGGACACTCCGACCCTCCCAGTCTTAAACGCACGGAGGGTCTGCTGGGTCAGTTGTCCACATTTGAAGAAAATTTACTGGATAATCAACCACATATAAAAACCGTCCCAGTTACGCATGGGCAATTGAACTATTTTTAAAGCTAAAGTCAAGAAAGAGTTGCGCCCCTTCCAGAAATAAATCGCATAATTATTGCATTATTATAAATAAACATGAATCGTGACGACGAATTAGGATTAACAAAACATAGATATGGCCCATGAAGAGATAAATTTTACAATAAAAATTTTAATAGTGTTGGATATACAAATATATTTTTCGACAATTCTTAAATTAAAACCACACCACTTGAGTCAATGATCTAACGAGCAAGCTGTTAACCACATGCCGCCCCCCTCTCATCCCTTCCGAAAAAAAAATGAATAAAATGGTAACAGAAATGGTAAAACTCTATAAAACTCTATTGTGAACGTCTTACTTACTGGAATCAACAGAAACTTCATAAATTATCCGCAATTTTGACATATTGCTGTGTTTCACTGAATTCAGATGATATTATGGCCACGAATTTTATTTTTCTATTATAGACAATGTGTCAAGCAGCTGGTAGTCACCTGGCTTCTATTGAAACAGACGCAGAACGACTTTATCTCAACCAATATATTAATTTTTCACACGGTATGTACCGTAAACAAATATATAAACGTTATACAAGGTATTTACTGTAAACCAATATATTAACGTTATACAAGGTATGTACTGTAAACCAATATATTAACGTTATACAAGGTATGTCCTATAAACCAACATATTAACGTTATACAAGGTATGTACTGTTAACCAATATATTACCGTTATACAAAAACCAATATTTTAGCGTTATACACGGTATGTACTTTAAACCAATATATTAACGTTATGTATGTACTGTAAACCAATATATTGACGTTATACACGGTATGTACTGTAAACCAGTATATTAACGTTATACAAGGTATATATTAACGTTATACAAGGTATGCACTGTAAACCAATATATTAACGTTATACAAGGTATGCACTGTAAACCAATATATTAATGTTATATGAACGTTATACGCGGTTTGTACTGTAAACCAATATATTAACGTTATACATGTTAATTGTTATGTATATTGCATTGCTATCCCTCGCCGAATGAACGGACTGATTTTGAAATGGGCCCTGTCGTTCCATCATGTTGTGCACACACCCGCAGGAATCCATCGAAGGCCGCCCAGGGGTTAACCAAAGAACATTTTGAAAATTATATCGCTGTGGGTGAGATTTAGGGCCCTTTCCTGTCGGTTTAGATACAAACTGTAACCGAAACTTTCGTTGCCCAAATCAGACGAAAAATAAGATCAGCATCTTGATTGTACTTAAAGCATCTGACATTTTCGGCAAGGGTCGCCTGTCCAACCTCGTGGGTTTTCTCTGGGTCCTTCCGTTTCCTCCCACTGCTAAATACCCCTACGCGCAAGCGAATTATTGTAATAAAATTAAACCGTATGTTAGTCCCGAAATGACCTAGTTTGTGTCGAGTGGACGTTAAACCCCATCTCTCTCTCTCTCTCTCTCTCTCTCTCTCTCTCTCTCTTCAAGGTTTCTATTTTTTCTACTGTTATAGGTGATGCCTACAGATATTACTGGGTTGGTGCTTTCAACTTTATTGATGGTACCTACATGTGGGTTGGAACCCAGAAAGGATTAGGCAATGTATCTTGGAAGGCTGGAGAACCAACAAACCGACCAGGGGAACATTGTTTAGTGATGGTACAAGATGAAAATTCTTTGTTGGCTGATCTGGGTTGTGATTCAGTCGAAGCATTTGTCTGTGAACTCGAGTAAGTATACTTCTGGCAGTGGGGATTGGGGTGGACAGGGGTTCGTTGATTGTGAACTCTAGTAAGTATACTGTCTTCTGGCAATGGTGATTGGGGTGGACAGGGGTCCTGTTGTCATTTGTCCGTGAACTCTAGTAAGTAAATTTCTGGTAGTGGGGATCGGGGTGGACAGGAGTCCGATTGTCATTTGTCTGTGAACTCGTGTAAGTATACTTCTGGCAGTGGGGATTGGGGTGGACAGGGGTTCGTGGGCTGTGAACTCGAGTAAGTATACTGTCTGCTGGTAATGGGTATTGGGGTGGACAGGGGTCCGTTGATTGTGAACTCGAGTAAGTATACTTCTGGTAGTGGGGATTGGGGTGGACAGGGGTCCGTTGATTGTGAACTCGAGTAAGTATACTGTCTTCTGGTAGTGGGGATTGGGATGGACAGGGGTCCGATTGTCATTTGTCCGTGAACTCGTGTAAGTAAACTTCTAGTAGTGGGGATCAAGATGGACAGAGCTATACAGTCTGACCAACTGCAGCCATGTTCGCCATTTGGTTACCCAATCTGTAAGTTTAATGTTTAGGTCTAATTATTAAGGCCAACTGCAGATTTGGTCAAAGGTCACGAACTGTAAACAGGACTATCGCTAACCTTAAAGTTGCAATTTCATATTTTTAAGTTATATTTTTAAAATTTATTAAAATAAAGCCTTAAAATAGATGGTATCCATAAACAGTCCTACCTTATTAAAGAATAATCCTATTAATCCTATAATTCACTATTGCCAGCTGAGAAATTGGCAAAAATATCATTTTCCTCCTCAAATTCAAACGTTTGAGGATAGCTACTCCATGGTGGAGAATAGAAAACAAAGGAGGTAATTGGGAGGTAATTGTGTTATTATTTCCTGTGTAAATGAGTTTTAAGTGTGAGAATTACACCTATGATCGTATAATAGTGAGTTGACAACCTATTGAGCAAAACACGTAGAAATAATTATGTTTTGACTTTCTTAGAAAATATGAAATTGTAACTTTAACCCTAGACCTGGCCGTAACCCACAATCCGTGACAACAATCACGTGCCCTAACCCTATTTATATCTCGTGACCTTGACGAAATCAGCAGTTGGCCCTAATATTTCGACCTAGCCAACTTTGATAGATCAACTATTAGAACAAAAGAGCGTCGGTAAAAACGGACAGAATGATAGTTCTGTATAAGATGGTAACTGTACGAATCAGTAATTAGTAGCACTAAGATTAGACATGTTGTTACTAGGCACAATGGAGACAATGTCTATATTTGGCTCTGGGCCGGGGTCCTACTAGTGAAGTATGTCATTGAATCCAATGACGTGGTTTTGGCCCTAGACTCATTGAATCAACTAACGTGCTTTCGATTCACCGGCTGTACGTGGCAAGGAGTAGGGTAGCCTCGTTGGTTTTCTATGGGTCCTCCGGTTTCCCCCCACTGCTAAAGACCCCTACGCACAAGCGAATTACTGAAATAAAATTGAACCATATGTTAGTCCCGAAATGACCTAGTTTTTGTTGAGTGGGCGTTAAATCTCTCTCTCTCTCTCTCTTTCAATCTCTTGTCCCAACCATTACCAAAAATTTAAAGATCTACCAAATGTTAATTCCGAAATAACCTAATCTGAGTTGACTGGATATTACCCACCCTCTACCCTTTTACCCTCGTTACAAATGTTTCTAACATTATTGGTAATTAATCGCTTGATCTGTTAGTAGCTAGTTATCTTGCCAGGAAAGTTCGGCTCACTGGAAGCAACTTTCACGAATTATCCCCCTTGGACCACAAATACAAAACCTTTTGGATTGTGTCACACGCGGACATTAAATGGGCTTTAACGTGCAACCTGTTTGCACCAACACGGCTAAAGAAGACGAACAAACACCGAGTAATGTGCTGTTGGCCGGACAACTGTTCTTTGGCCTACTGTTTATGATAAATCATATTTTCTACTTGCAGGTTAACTTCACCAATATTAGGCTAATACCAACACGAATTTCTATGGTCCTTTGATGCTTGAAAATAAAACGATTCCAGTGATTATAAGAAAATTGTAATTTTTATTTTCCCTCGCTGAACGCCATCTTTGAGAGATATTGAAATCCTGTCCAAGCAAGTTGTGTACTCGGTTACTCTCCCACTTCTCTGCATTGACTCGTGTAGTGAACATGGCCATAGGCACCCTGTAGGTGATATCAAATCAAATTAAATGGGGTTTGGACTAATGAAGACGGGAATATGCCATACTGTGTGCTATGAGTGAAATTTTGCCCAGACAGCAGCGCAACTCTTATATCGAATTGCAATTGCCAAGGGATCTTTTACATGTGTATGTGTATACGGGACCTCGGTTTTTCGTCCCATCCGAACGACTATACGTTGTTCTGTGTACGGCATTCCGTCCTAGACAACTGACAAAGGGGGGAGGGGCAAACCAAAAGACCCAGATGAACTTGCTTGGTCAACACCGGGATCGAGCACTGGATCTCCGACATCATACCCAAGAAGACACAAAGGCTTCCAAGTGGGTAAGACGCTAGCTCGCTAGCCTGGAGGTCGGGTGTTCGATCCCTGCATTGGCCGAGAAAGTTCATCCAGATTTTCCGGCGTGGTTCTCCCTTGTCAGTGATGCAGGACGGAGGGGCTGACAAGGAAAGCTGTCTAGTCGTTCGGATGGGACGAAAAACCGAGGTCCCGTGTACACATTGGCGTGCACGTAAAAGATCCCTTGGCAGTTGGAATTCGATATAAGAGTAGGCCGTAGTGCCGCTGTCCGGACAAAATTTCCCTCATAGCACACTGTATGGCGTATGCCCGTCTTCATTAGCCCAGTTTAGGAGCAGAAAAGTAGGACGTTAAACTCCATTTCATTTCATGTCATTTCTTCCAATTTATGGAAGACGTATTACTGATTTATGTAGGCGACGTTTTAGACGGTATTCTCTCACGGTTTGGAAGGAAGCGCCTAAAGACATTTACTTCTTTAGAGTTTCATCAATTACTAACCTGTATTCTCTGAAGGTTTTCAACCAGGTACCTTAAGACATTCAGCATGGACGCATTTTTACGGAGTTTAATAATACGTCATGTAAGATTTAAAGCGCACCATTCTCGCTAGAAAAATTTCATTCAAATTGTCTTTATTCTGAGCGAGGGGGGGTGGGGGGTGGATGGCTGAATGGTTAGCGTGCGCGTGCTGTATCATAAAGTCTGTCATTGAGTCGACTGGCGTGGTTTCGAATCCCCTGTTATACGTGACAAGGAGCAGGATCGCCTTCCAACCTCCTGGGTTTTCTCCGGGTCCTCCGGTTTCCTCCCACTGCTAAAGACCCCTACGCGCAAGCGAATTATGTAAATAAAATTAATACCATATGTTAGTCCCGAAATGACCTAGTTTGTGTCGAGTGGATGTTAAACCCCATTTCTCTCTCTCTCTGTTCTGAGCGACGTTATGACAGTTTGAAGATGTCGCGTAGATTCAGGGGCGGATCCATTGTGGCGGGGGGGGGGGCAAACCCCACCCTGTTCAGTTACATTAAAATAAAATCTTGCGAGTTGACTTTAGGCTTGTCATTTGAATCCATTTCTAAATGGACGGAGGGCCTGACAAGGACAGCTGTCTAGTCGTTCGGATGAGACGAAAAACCAAGGTCCCGTGTACACATTGGCGTCCACGTAAAAGACCCCTTGACAGTTGGAATTCGATATAGCACACTGTATGGCGTATGCCCGTCTTTATTAGCCCAGTTCGGAGCAGAACAGTAAGCCTTTAAACCCCATTTCAGTTCATTTTCCATTTCTAAATAACAATTTATATCACATTAGAACGAAATAGAAAGATCTACAATAAACAGCTTTAGATCTTATATTAATGTATGTTTAATATTCCGTTATGGGATTAGCAATACCCTCAAGACTGAAAACTGAACAGTGTAAAACCCGTAACAATATATAACTTCAACCGCTAACAAATGTAACCAATCTATATTGCTTTTCGTTTTTTATTTATAAATAAATCAAATGTTAAAAAATATACCATAAAGATCGTCCCCTGATATCTCACATCAAAACCAAAAAATGTCCAACTAGGAACAAGCCAGAATCTGAAAATAAAACGAATGTTTTATCTATAAAAAATATAACACGAAACGTAATAGGATCTTTGTGTTTTTATCCGATTTAGGTCCACAAAGAATTGGCTTAAATGTCATTTAGGATATATTTTAGTGGTTTAACAGGATGTGAGCTTAAGTCGCAGATGTTTTTTTACGAAAGGACCAGGGGCCTATTTCACGAAATTTTAACTAAGATAAAATCCAAATTTTAGTCATTTGATTGGATAATATTAGACTAATTTAAGTGCTCAGCCAATCAAGATTAAAGTATCTACTAAAATGTGGATTTTATCTTTAGTTAGAGGCCCGGTCCCAGTGGCCGATGGACACAAAACGTATGCAAAAAGAACACAGCGGACGAGCAAACTTTCCGGGGGTGGCTCCATCCGTTTTCATCCGCTCCAGAAATGGACATAATTGACGAAAATTTGCGAAAACAGAACGGAAAAGAACGAACGTTGGAAGTATGTAGCAGGGATGTTAAATGGATGTTCATCGGAAGCCTAGCGAATGAAAGCGGATGGAAGTGGATGACAGCTCCGACAAACTCCAGACATCCTTCAATATACCAGATACATCCCAGATACAAACGCTTTGTCCGTTTTGAAAACTTTATATACGAGATGCATACGCTTTCATCCTTTCTATTTCCCTGCTACTAACGATGTATAGACGTTCCATGTTCCTCCCTCTTTCCGTTTTCAGCTGGAGCGGACGTGAGTTGCATGGATGCCCAGAGGATACAGAGAGGATACAGTGGACGTTTAACGGATGATAACGGACATGGAACGTTTGGTGCTCGTATATGTCAACCGACAACACTGCAAGAATTGGCCGTGGCACTGCAAGAGGAGTGGGTCAGATTGTCCCAAATCGTGATTGGACGGATGATTAGGAGCATGCCACGACGAATTGCTGAATGTTTGAGGATTGGTGGACCAATTACTCATTATTAAGACAAAAATCAAAAACGTTCTTTGCGAGTGAAATGGGGCCGTCAGATAAGCCGCCCATATGAACTGTTTATGTTCATGTGTAGGCAATTAACCTGTTATTAACATATACTTGTTACCTCTAATAAAACAGCAGTGCATTTCCACAGATTTGTATTGTTTCTGAATATCCCCTACTTTTTTGAAGAGTATATATAAATAATAGATAATGACATCCCATTTCATATTAGAGAATATTGTACGATTGATCGAGACTAGACGTAAGTAGAGGATATCAGGTCGTAATTAGCATCATTTACACGACACCGCGTCTTTTAGTTATAATAAAACCAAAATAACTAGCTATTTAACTATTCTGTTTACTTTCATTTTATCTATATCGGGTTGAAATGAAATCCAGCTGTGTTGACCAGTATGTAAACAGACTAATTATTATACTTGTGTGATCAAATTATTTATATATGTTTGTCTCGTAGAAGTTTATAAACAAGTACTAAAATAGTTTCTTTGAAATTCTAAAAGAGACACGTTAAGATTTATTATGCAAGAGCTAAATCTGTCTAATGCAGATCTTCCGTTTGGCCTCAAATGTTATATAAATCATTAATTAGACATTTATTGACATGCCAGATCCATGATCAACCCTCTAGAGCATTGGATGGTTTTGATTTTCAACGGATTTAAACACAATTGCCAGTAAATAATTATTTTCTTATAAGCTTATCTCTTATAATATGTATTATGTGTGTCTCCATATTATAAGCATGTACATATTGTTAATACATGTTATATCTATATGTATTCAAACGTTCTGTTATATGACCCATACATACATACTTAAACATACATTATGGCAGATTAGATAAAGAGCTGACAGTTTGCACTATAATAGTTAAAAACTAGATAATGTAAAGGCAATTTACTGAAAATTTCAGCCAAATTAACTGATTAGAAATTAGAGTAAAAACAGAAACGATTGAATGTAAATCAGTTTATATATATTCATATTACAGTATTATATACATTGCGACCCATTTGTGTCAATTTCTAGGTCCCAGATATTAGCGATTAAGCTCCTTAATACTGTAATATGATTGTATATAAACTGATTTACATTCAATGGTTTCCGTTTTACTCCAATTTCAAATCAGTTATGTTCCGCGAAATAAGCCAGCAGTCTCAAGCGAGTGCAAATTTCTAGCGTCTGGTTATTCCAGTCTACATGCGCCGTTTGGTTTGGTTGCAATGTGTCTAGCCTCGTCCCTCGAGTCTCTTGATACAACTGGGGCTGAAGCGCATTATGGTACACGATTCGTGTACCAATGGTAAAATGTTTATTTTATCTTAAATATTGGATATCAAAAGTCCATCTTTTTTCGGTAAGGTCACAACACGAATGTTGATTTAATTTGACAAATAAATCGTGTTTTCAATGTTGAAGATTTTGGATGATATTGAGTTAGAGACTTAGCTACTTTAACTATTATAGCGAGTACTGTCAGGTCTTTATCCACATTTTACATCTTAAGAATAGAAATGCGTCATAGAGTGTGCTATGACGGAAATTTTGCCCAGTCAGCGGCGGTACGGCCTACTCTTATATCGAATTCCAACAGTTACCGGTTCTTTTGCCCGCACGCCGATGATTTTCGTCCCGTCCGAACGACTAGACAGCTGTCCTTGTAAGACTCTCCATCCTGCACCACTGACATGGAGGAAACGACGCCAGGAAATTCCGAAGGACTTTCTCGGCTAACAACGGGCGCGAACATGGGAGCTCCAAGTTTAGTCAGCCAGTGTCTAACTCATTGATTCACCGCGGCTCTTTAGCCATAATTACTGAAATTGAAAACATCGGTCAAAATATCCAACATTAATAAAAAAAAATAAAAAAACAAAACAAAACAGAAAATATAAATAACTTAAACTAAAATAGACAATAGAAGTTGCGAAATCTTGATAATTTTCTAGATCTTCGTGGAA